TTCTCTGTCCAGTGTTTTTTCTTGGCTCTGCCTTGATTCAGTTGTTTGTCTTTGAAGCCCTGGGCTTAGAGTTAGGTAAGGACATCCCAGTATCCCAGTTCACGAGTGCAGCACCAGAGCCTTGGACACAGAAGTTTTTAGCAGACAGCATCTCTGCCCTTTCCGGGCCAGCTTTCTAGGGCGCTGCCTCTGAGATTCTTAGGTCCTTTGCCTTCTGGTGCAGCAGGTTAGTTTGTACTTGAGATACAGGGATATGGTATGGGAATCTTAACGCAATGTATATCTAATCAAGCATATGTTTATTTTTTTCCCCTCCCTTTCTTCTTTCCCAAGGATGACATTGAAAATGCAAAGTACGTTTCCCGGTTATTTACCACACGGCACAAGTTTTATAAGCAAAACAAAATCTGCACTGAGTAAGTAGACCTTGATCCCACCCTCTCCCAAGGTAGCTTGGTCACATCCAATCCGTGGGCTTCTGGGAGGTTGTAGATCACTTTTTCCATTTGTTCTTCTGCCTTGATCCTTGCTGAAGCCAAAGAAGCAGGTTAAGGCCGGGCAGGAAGGGAGGCTTTAATGACAAAGACTGGCTAGTGTAGTCTGCGCCTAGAAAAAATGCTTCACAAATTGGCCGCCCGGATGGGTGGGCCGCATTAGTGCCGTTCCAAGCCTCGGCTCTGAGTTCGGAAGAGCCGTGCGGTGCCCAATTTGCCGGGGTGGCCCTCGTGTCAGAAGCGGGGCATGTTCAGAGGTGATGACAGTGACACGCCAGCGCCGGCTTGAAAGGGAAGACGCTACTGTCATCCCCGGCCCCGGCAGCTCACACAGGGCACAGCGCGCCAACCCTGCGTGCGCTCCTGGGTCGTGCCATCTGCCTGCAAATGAGAGGCCAGGGTAATTAGAGGGCGATGTGGAAGACACTGAGAGGTGTTGCAAATCTGCGCATCGTCTTTTTAATTTAATTTGGAAATAAAGGGGCATCTGATGTGGGCTGTTTCCACGTGGCCTGACCTCAGAGAGCGCACGATGGGCTCCCTCGGTCCCCTTACCTTGGTCGTCTTCAAAGACGTTCTCAGCAGCATGTCCTTGCGCTTTGGGCACCCAAGGTGTTTAATTTGGGTTCAAAGAGCCATCGGGGATGTAGATACAAGGACGAGCCGCTTCTCCGCTCCCACGGGGGCACTGCCAGGAAGGGTAGCGTGTCGCCTTCCAGCAGGTGCAGAGAACTGGATGACTGGGTCATGGCCAGCTTTTTTCCCCATAGGACGGAGGCTCTGCACTTGGTCACTGCCGGGCTCTGACAGTGTATGTGACAGTCCTAGGCCTTGCAGTAAATCTGCTCTCCAGGTGAATCAGAAGGCCCGAGACGGGGATGGCAAATTAGGCAGCAGTGCGTTTCTCACAGCCCTGTTCTCACATGCGCGCTGCACACCATTTTTGATCAGATTCCTTGGTTGCTCTGTGCGGTTCTACTCTGCTGTTTTCCTTTGACTTGTCAGGGTGTCCTTGACATTAACAAGAGTTCTGTAGTTGACTTCTGCAGGGTCAATCAAAAACTGTGCTGAGAAGAGGGATTTCACTGTAGCCCTTTGGCTTACCCATTTCTCAGCAACTGGCTGTACGGGGTGACTTCCTGAGGGTGTTCCCTTTATGATCTTTTCTTCTAATTTACTGAACTTCACCTATGAGACTGAAAACCAAGAAGAAATTGCTTTTCATGCTACTCCTATAATAGGCCTTCCTTGCTCCTTCCTGATGTGGTATGGGAGGTTCCTGTTAGAAATTTTTTTTTTAAACATTTATTTTAGTAGTACGTGTTTCCAGTGCATAATGATGACATGCATCGTGAGGAATTGGCACATGTACGTAATATAGCTTAATTTTTTTGAGCCTGGGGCTGATTAAAAATCTGATTAAAAATTGGGGCTGTCTTGTCACATGCAGATTAAATTCTAGATGCGATTTCATGCACTCAGCACAGACCTGCTAAGCAGTGGGACATCCCTCCAGAGCTGACCGAAGTAGCATCGTCTCAGTGGCCTCCTCCTCCATGGGGGCGCAGAGTCCTTGTCCGGGACCGTCCATGCTCTCACCTCTGACAGATGGTCACTGGTTTTTCTGTCTCTGCAGGGCCCCTGTTTGTCATCTGTTAGTGTCGTTCCAGGGGAGTAGTTCCTGCGTTTTGGGGAGGAAAGGCGAGGGGAGCGTGTTTCATGCCGGCCTGGTGACATTTTATCCGGCCAGCTGTTTAAAAAGTTCAACATTGCTCTGTCGTGTCCATCGTAGCTTAAAAAACATTGTATGATCAGGAAGTCAGGAAGGGGGCGATCTGAGAGTAACAAGAGTCCTTTCAAGAACTTTACCTTGATAAAGGCTTCATGTCCTGTTTTTTATTTTATTTTTTTATGATAATACTGCGGACTGGGGAAATGTTGCTACAGCCCTTGGGACCCGTTGGTCAAAAACATCTTTGACTTCGGCTTTTAAGAATTGGACAATATTCCACATTCCCATTCACTTTTAGCTCTGCTTTTTTCTTTCTTTTTGTTGTGTACATCCCTTTGGTGCTCAGGCTGTAGCAGTCTGGTTAAGGGTATGTGGTAGCTCAGTGGTAGTATACTTCCTTAGCAATAGAAGAAAATAAAATATAATTAAAAAGGATCTTGTCAGAAAAATATTTGTACTACATGTTATCTTAACAAGAAGTGTTTTTATATGCTCATGCTGAAAAATATTTTACCAATTTTGGAATTTCATTTGACTAGAAGCATTTTTAAAAGATATTTTTTCTTTTTGCTCCTCATAATCTTTATTATCAGAGATTTAAACAGCCACTAAGGTACAAAGAGTACAATTTTTTAATGCCTGTGTCATCATAATAGTGGTGTTTTTCAGTTTTATTTCTTTAAAAATAAATCTCATTCTTTTAATATTAGCTGGTAAAACTTATTACTCAAGTAGCACAAGTTCCAGACATTTTGAGAATAAAGAGAAGAATAAAAAAGGAAGCGAAAATGCTTCTTAGCATCAGCATCGAGACGTGAACAGTGTGGATGTTTTGGTGTATGTCTGGCTGATCTTGCCATTTTTCCCTTTCCTTCTTCCCTAATCTGTCTGCCCTTTTTATAGCTGATCAGTAATAATGGCCATTCTTGTTTTTTCCAACTTTTCACATAGGCAGTCTAATTCTCCACCCCCCATCAGACGCCAGCCCACCTGGAGCCGGTCCTCCCTGGTGAGTGTGACATCTTCTGATCCAGCAGACCGACCGTTGGCGGGAAGGGCTGGAGGGCAGAGGGATCGGGGGCCTTGTGGGCAGGGGCGAGCTTTGTGAGACCGCAGAGGGCATCAGCCTGCCAGGAGGTGTCTCGAGCATCCATTGTGCCCCCCGATACCCATCTGTGCCCTTCACTTCCGGAAAGGCAGCTCCGGGGGCTCCCTGTAGGTCTGACTCCAGCGCAGTGTGCCATTGTCTTCAGCAGAACCCTCCGGTAGGATTCTCTGCTGTCTTTCTACCTTGTTTCCCACTTTCCATCTCTTGTGGTCATAGCATAGTGACATTGCTTCCGTTCTAAGCTCCACTAATGCTTTCGTGTTCCCTGCTGTAGAATGAACTTAATAAGCTAGTCAGAAAATCCTTCCTAAATGAGCAAAAATTGAGTGACTCTAGTAAGTGGTCTCAGGTAGAGTCTTGGATGGGAATGATTGACTGAACATGTTCTAATTTTAAGGCTTTGATTAGCCAAAAACATTTGAATCGATCCACTTTCCCCCCTAATCTTTTAGGTTTTCTTTTCTATTTTAATTTCTCTTTTCATTTTGTGTGTGGTCTAAGACTTGTTACTTTGAGGATGATTCAAGGATAATAGGGCAGATAGTAAGCGTTGGTCTCCTTTAAAAGTTTCTGCTTGTTTAGTCACAATTCTTCAGGGTTATGACTTTCTGTGCACAAATGAAGTAGATATGTGGCCCTTTTATTTTTCTAGATGAATAATCCCTTTGAGCTGATAGGAGCATCACATAGAAGCTTTGTATGAAGCACAGCCCCACTGATAGTTTCTAGCTTGTCTTTTAGAAGGAAAGTTTTGAAGATAATTACTCTTTTCTGGAAAATGCACAGACATGGACTCTTGAAGCCCAGAGCTGGGCCAGTGGCGTCCCTGGAGAGCCCCCAAGCCTGGCCACTTGTTACAGTCCCTCACACGTGTGCTCTGCCTTGGAGATCCAAAGGACATGCTGGGCTCCCCCTGTAGCACCAGTGAATTCGTTCATGGCCCTAGTTTCTCTGTTCTTATGTTCTTTGTTAATTTATTTCCTTTTCTTTACAATCCATTGTTCTAATTAGTAAGATCATTTTGCATTTATGTCCACGAAACTATGAGAGGCAGACTGTGAAAGGCCACCTTGGGCTCTGATCTGGTCCCAGTTATCCAGAAAGGAGACAGAGCCTTACCATTCTTATTGGGATGAAGACAGACTTGGGGCCCCCCTCCCCCTGCACACTAGGTTCAAAACATTCACAAGAATTCTTGCAGCAAGGGAGAGGAAGTCCAGACTCTTTGTCTGTCCACCGCCTTGTCCCTGGCCAGGGTGCCGGTCACTGATTTTCTTTCCCCTTCTGCTGCTGTGTGATAGCACCCGATCTGTTTCTGTATGTGCGGATCTGGAAAGAAATGGGAGAATATATGGGAATAGACATGGAAATGAGATTAATACTATAATGCTTAAGTGGTATTTGAAGAGCTAGTTCTTCTTACTTTGTGCCCGTACACTTAGGCCAGCGCATGAACAGTCACTTCATGGATTTCTTTTCTAAAATAAGAGCAAAAGGAGGTGTTAACCCTCCTTTCTTTGCTGTGTACAAATCTCTCCTCACTATTAAAAACAAAAACAAAAAAAACCTTAAATTCGACCATCGTAGGGCGGACAGATGGAGTTGAATTATGTATTGTCAAGGAGAGGAAAACTATTTTTAATTTACAACTCAAAAATCAGCCAGGCGAACCCTTGAGGATGTTTAGGAACAGGGACATGGCACCTCTTCTCTGGTACCAAGTGGCCCTCCCCGGGGTGCATTTCATTTCAATGTTTTTGTTTCTTCTCTCTTGATTCCTTTGAAGCTTTGTGCCCCTTGTCTGCATTCCCTTCTTTATTTGCCCTTTTGATGCCAGATGTCAGGAAACTGGGGCTCCTGTTGGCTTTGGCCTCTCGTTTGACCTCGGCTTCGTCACCATTCTCTTCCTCACGAAGCATTAATTTTTAAAGTTCCATCTATAAGGCTGGTGGAAATACAGACAATCACCTTGTCTAGTGACTTGCGAACTCCTCTATCTAGATACACTTCCATGAGACAGAGTCCCTTACCTGGAACCCCGATACCGGGATAAAAATGAGTGGTTGAGCTCAGGGAAGAAACCATGTTTGTTTGATGGACAGGAACTCGAAACCTAGTGAAGTTAAATGACTTGCTCTAGGTCGCAGTTGGGAATTGCCGTATTTCCTTTGCTCACCCAGTGGTCAGGCCATCAAAGTTTTGTTTTGTTTTTTCTTCCCCTCAAAGTGTTGCCCTCTCCTGCAGCAGGCAGTGATGGGGTCGCCCCTCGGTGGCCGCCCGTAAGAGTCTAGTGGAAAAGAGTGTGTGCGGGGGTGAGGTGTGCTCCCTGCCTGGCGTCTTCCACGTTGTTCCTGCGGTGTGGAGGAGGAATAGTGGCTGTGAGCACTGCAGGCTCGTTACGGGTCACTTTGTGGATTTTTATGTCACTTCACCACTGGGCCCGGCCTGACACTAATAACCCTGTACCTCTTTGAAGTTGCTGTGGACCTGTGAACCGGGGTCTGTGCTGATGGGTAGGAGCTTGTGGCCCCAGGAGGGGGCCAATTTTGAATAGAATGAAACAGGTTTCCTTTTTATTTCTTAGCTGGGTCATCCTAAGGTCCCCGTTCCCATTATACCTGTTAAGAAGGCGGGCGTAGAAGACACAGATAATGAATAGCTGCACCAGGCTTTGGACTGTGGCCTCTTGCTCTTTTGACCTTAAACCAACTTCCTTGTTTCTCCCTTGCTGTTTCACGGGTCCTGGGCTTCGTGGTGATGTGGGGCGGGGTGCAGATGAGTGGAGTGGGGATCAGGGCTTCCTGTAGCCGGAGGTGGCGGGCTGGCGCTGGGGAGCGTCTGCCAGGCCTTCCCAGCCTGCTGTGTCCTCTCTTCCAGCCCCGGCAACAGCCGTACATCCTGCCTCCCATACACGTCCAATGCGGCGAGCACTACTCGGAAACACACACGTCACAAGGTAACGTGCCTCGGCCCTGTCCCTCGGCCCTGTCCCTCGGCCCTGTCCCTTCCGAACGCAGAAAGTTGAGCACCAGGTAGGAGTTGGGAAGTTCTTCTCTTTCCTAAGGGACGGTGACGCTTTCCTTCGAGCATGGCCATTGGCTGAGTGACAGGAGCCAGCATGTCAGGTTGTGAAATGCTTATAGAAGATCAGTTACTCCTAAAAGAACAGCTTCCTGGAACTGGCTGCCAGGGGCTCCGAGGCCAAGGCACTGGGCAGGTTCCTGTCCTCTCTGTTTTGTCCGTGGGCCTGGGGAGGCCGGGACCACGGAGCCCAGCTGAGCACGCTTGCCCTCCTTGCCAGTGTCGGAAGCCGATAGCAGCAGGTGTCTCGGTGACAGAGAACACAGGCTCCAGGACAAGCGGGAAAAACAGGCCCAGCCTCTCTCAGCTTTCTGCTTATCTCTCCAACCTCTTTCTCAGTGCGATTAATCGTCGCTTCTCAGAGTAAACAAAATCTGTTTTATTCCTTTTTCTCCCAAAACATCTCCCGTGAAAAAATGCATGAAAGAGCCCAATTCCATTAGTGATAGCAGTGGCAGTGATAACCATTAACAATAACAGAGCAATGGTGGCATGCCAGCCACTCTCTAAGTACTAATTCAATCCTCAGTATAAACTACAGGTACCGTTATTACTGCCGTCTCACAGATATGGGAACTGGGACATAGAGAGGTAGATGGTGGCATTGGGATATGCAGATCGGCACCTCTGAATCCTGACACCAATCCCTTGTCAGTAAAGGAGATGAGATGGCAGAAAACCGTGGATGCTGATATTGTATTAAATGGATCATAAGTTTCTGTTTTACCACCTCTTGGCTATGTTGAATCCTCTGTGATAGGAAAGTTTGAGCCGGGGAACTGAGACCATCAAGTTGTTTATCACGAGAGTACATTTTATAAGCAAAGTTCCTCTGCTTCCAGGGGAAGATACCAAGCTCTGTGGGAGGCAGATAAATCGCAGCACCTTGGCCTCTGGGTTCTCTTAGTTTTTCCTGCCTGGCTCTTCCGATTAGATCTGGATCCACACCCCTCCTTTTCAAACAGTTGAATACTTGCTGTTACTATCTCTGTTTTTACCTTTTCTGATTTTGCCTTTCTGCTTGTCGCATGCTGAAATAGTGAACATGATCGTGACTAGGTCACAGAAGTGTTTTGGCTGGAGGTTACCTGCCTAGAGTGTGGGGCCTGCAGAGGAATAGGAATGAATGGACCTTAGTTTAGAAATCCTCTGCGCTCTCTCTCTCTCTCTCTGTCTCTCTCTGTCTCTCGGCTTTTAACTATAACAATTTTCTTTTTCTACTTGAGTTGACCCCCTTGATGAAATCAGAGCTAGAGGAAGACTTCAGGAATGGCTCAATGATCTCTTGGTCATTTGCCTTCCGTTCATTGCTGCTTAGCACGACCTAGCCGGGCTGATCTCCTGGCTGTTTCTTTGTGAATACTCAGCGGTCCCCTGGGTCAAGGGACATTTCTGTTGTAGTCAGTAAGAGCAAGTCCAAGTACTGGGTAATTTCCCATCTACTGCTTCAGGGAAGTTCTTGACTTCCTGGCCCAAATATCCAGTCCTGTTACAGCTGAACCAGGCACACAAGGACGCGTCTGTCCAACGCAAGGGACGCGGTTGGGGTCTGGTGACAAAGCTCATGGCAAAATCGAGAGCTGTGCCCTATGTGCCTTTCTTTGTTCAGCTCAGACCTCTCAGTGTGCTCTGGACAGTTCCTTCTATATGCTGGCGTCTGCCTGAGATACTGTCAGTTGTTCAGTGGGGCGTGTGGGCGGAGGTCATGGAATTTCTCCTTTCATGACTGACTTAAATTAAGTGGGCAGGAACTTTATCGGCACAGGGTGGTGTGAAGGTTCCTGTGTGTGTTTGACTTGTAGATAGCATTTTCCATGGGAACGAAGAGGCCTTGTATTGCAATTCTCACAACAGCCTGGATTTAAACTACTTGAATGGCACTGTCACCAACGGGAGCGTGTGTAGCGTCCACAGCATCACCTCCCTCAGCTGCCCCCAGAGTTTCATCCAGACCTCCCCTGTGTCCTCCAACCTCAGCATCCCCGGGAGCGACATCATGCGGGCCGACTACATCCCCAGCCACCGGCACAGCGCCATCATCGTGCCGTCCTACCGGCCAACCCCCGATTACGAGACGGTCATGCGGCAGATGAAGAGGGGCGTGGTGCACGGGGACAGCCACAGCCAGTCCCTGCGGAACCTCAGCATCCTCAACGCGCACGCCTACAGCCAGCCCGAGGAGCTGGTGTACAGCCAGCCGGAGATGCGCGACAGGCACCCCTACACTGCACCCTATACCCCGCAGGGGGGCTACGGCCACGCCCTGGTCAGTCCAGCCGACCACATGAACCCCAAGAGTGGCGCAGTGCCCAGCAAGCCCCGGGCCAGCGCCATCTCGCACACGGTGAGCACCCCGGAGCTGGCCAACATGCAGCTGCAGGGGCCCCAGGGCTACCACGCGGCCCACATGCTCAGGAACTATCTCTTCCGGCCGCCACCACCCTACCCCCGTCCCCGTCCCGCCACGAGCACCCCGGACCTGGCCAGCCACCGCCACAGGTATGTCAGCGGCAGCAGCCCCGACCTGGTGACCCGCAAGGTGCAGCTGTCTGTGAAGACATTCCAGGAGGACAGCTCCCCTGTGGTGCACCAGTCCCTGCAGGAGGTGAGCGAGCCCCTGCCGGCCACCAGGCACCACGGTCCGGCCACCAAGCGCCACAGCCTGGAGGTGATGAGCAGCATGGTGCGCGGCATGGAAGCCATGACGCTGAAGTCGCTGCACGGCCCCATGGCTCGGCGCAACACGCTCCGAGAGCAGGGCCCGCCCGGGGAGGCGGCCCAGCTGCCACAGTTCCACCACCAGAAAACCTTCTCTGATGCCACCATGCTGATCCACAGCAGCGAGGATGAGGACGAGGATGAGGAGGCGCCCGTGGCCGCCCCGCCACACATGCCTGCGCTGCAGGAGAAGGTGGAGTACAGCGCCCAGCTGCAGGCCGCCCTGGCCCGGATCCCCAACAAGCCCCCGCCCGAGTACCCGGGGCCCAGGAAGAGTGTGAGCAACGGGGCGCTGAGGCAGGACCAGGGCACCCTCGCCCCCGCCGCGGCCAGGGCCCGGATGCTGAGGCACGGCCCCGCCAAGGCGCTCAGCGTCTCCAGGGCCGACCAGCTGGCTGTCAATGGCTCCGCCCTGGGCCCGTCCATCTCTGAGCCCGACCTCACCAGCGTGAAGGAGCGGGTGAAGAAGGAGCCGGTGAAGGAGAGGCCCGTGTCCGAGATGTTCTCCCTGGAGGACAGCATTGTGGAGCGGGAGATGATGCTGAGGGTAAGTGTCCCTGCCCCAGCGCCATCCACGGTTCCATGCAGGTGTGAGGCCATTCAGGTTTGTCTCTTTGTTACTGAATTTTCACATTTTTATTAGTGTATGTTTGTAGTACATAATGATCACACTCCTCGTGTGGAGTTGTACTTAACCACATCCTTGTTTTTTTTTTTTTTCCTGGTACCAGGAATTGAACTCACAACCTTGCGCTTGCCAGGCAGACTCTATGCCGCTGAGCTAAATCCCCAGTCCCCCACATCCTTGTTTTTTGATACCAAGACTCTGAGCTCAAGGCCTTGCGCTTGCCAGGCAGGCACTCTCCCACTGAGCTATATCCCCAGCCCAGCTCATCTTAATTCTTTTTATTTCTCCTCCTCTTTCTACCCTCTTCCTCCATCTCTGGTTCCCCTTCTCATTTTAAAAAGATCTACTTTCCTGTTTTCTCCTACCTCACTTTTATTCTGCTCTTTAATTTCTGTGTACATTGAGTTTCTCATCTACGAGAAACCGTGCAGTGGTTAAGCTTGTATGTCTGATTTATTTCACCTACCATTCTCAAGGTGCATCTGTTTTCCTACACATAACTCAAATTTGTCCTTTTTTGTAGCAAATACCATGTTTTAATCCATTCTTCTGATGGTCTGCTTTTAGAGGATCATTAGAGCCCTCTGAGAAGCTGAGGCAGGAGGATCACAAACCTGAGCTCCGTGTTGGCAGCCTAGAGCTAGGGAGACCCTGACTCATATAAAAAATGAAGAAAAGCGCTGGAGATGTAGCTGCAGTGCACAGGTGCTGGGTTCGATCCCCACTGTCGCCAAAACCCAACCAAACCCTCCATTACTGTCGTCCTGGAAATGTTCACTTCTTCAGAAAGTAATTTAATTCTGTAACTAATGAAACCAGGTTGACTTCTTTTCGTTCACCCAGCTGCACCACCTGGGAAGCCCAGACCGGTCGGAGCTTAACACTGGCTTGGCTGGGGCTTGTAGACTCCATTTCTAAGTCCAAGCCGGCCCCAGTTTTAAGGAAGTGGAGTTGCTGGGCTGACTCACTCACGGTCTCGGCCTCTCCGTTTTGGCAAAGTCCGGCAGCCCTGAGTTTGGAACCTGCATTAACTTTTCCCACTTCTGCAAGCCGAAGGGAAAGTGACGGGTGTACCTGGGCCTCCCGGAAGGAGTGCCTTTGGCTGGGGATGGAGTGAGTGAGACTTGCGGGTGGGTGTCTGGTGGCAGGAGCTTCCTAGCTTGGAAAAAAGTAACTCATGGGCCTAAAGGGATTTTCCATGGCTCTTGCCCCCACACCTCTTAAAAGCAGCATTAGCAGGAAGAATCTGGATTCTGTCCAAGTATTCAGCTTAGCTCTTTCCCCTCCCGAGTGTGGTTAGTGATGTCCTCGTGGTCCTATGGCCTCCACGAAGTCCCTCTTTCCCCATTTCTTGTTACCACATTCAACAAAGCACCTGGAGCCAAAACCATGGTGCTGGTCCCCATGAGGGTCACCCAGGAGCACGGGGTTCTGCTATCTTTTCCGTAATGCTGTTTTCTTCTATCCATGCAGAGAATAGTGACTCGCAAACTTCACCCACCAACCTCTGCTTCGGGCACATAATTATGCCAGTCCTATCCCATTTTCCCTGTGGCATTTCCTCTCAAATCCCGTACACACAGGAGCTGAAGTGCCTCGACCTTCAGCCAGGGTCCCGACCTTAGAGGAGGACCGGGTGGCCAGGCAGGATGGAGCCCAGCACCTCCAGGATATTAACTGCAGAACCATGACCCTCAACCTAAGGGCATCCCCCCATCTCAGTTCTGTCAGGGTGGGAAAGCAGTGCGGAACATTAAGCACCTGGAAGTGGGGGGCAGGTGTGGGGAGAATGTGCCCTGGGGCAGCCTCGGTGTGTGCAGCCCTGGTGGGGTGATGTATGATTCAGGGCCCCCGCCTTTCTGGCTTTTCCTCCTGTGAGGCCTTGAAGTCAGCTCCCAGCCCCCACCAGGAAGTCGGCCGCAGAAGAGGAAAGGCATTTTTCTGTCCTTGCTGGAAGCAAATAGGCTGAGTGGGAGCCAGGAACCTCCTGTGATGAATCCTGGGTTTCGGGTTTCAGTGGGCAGGTAGACAGGAGTCCTCCAAAGACAGGCGAGATCCTGTCTGTGTCAAGCAGGCGCAGTTGGGGTCCCCTGGGGAAGGGGGAGGGGGAGGGGGAGGGGGAAGGGCAGGAGGCAGGGATCTCAGGATCATTTCCCCAGGACTCTTGCTTTCTCAGAACTTCGAACTAAAAGAGGTGCTGGGGGGAATTATCTTTCACAGAAGTGAACTACTAAGCAAACAACTGCAAAGGTAAATCCCAAGTCTCCTGTGCCCCCACCTCCTTGCCTGGAGCTGAGGGAGGCCTCAGGCCGTCAGAAAGGGTTCCTGTTAGCTAGAAGTCTGTGGCTCCTCCTCCCTCTGGTCAGGGCTTGCCCAGCTCTGAGATGCTCCTGTATTTGCTGCTGGATCACCTCGAAGCTGGGGTGCCCCCCACTCAAAGGCCACATTCTGGCTGGAGGTGACATTACTCTGTGACCACTCATTTCCCTCCGGGTTAGAATGGTCCGCTCACCCCATGTGATCTAGCACCCTGACTGAGGAGAGACACCTCCCTGGAGCCGGACTTTATAAAGGACAGAATGAGAAAAAAGTCTCTAGTTGCTTGAACAGAAATGAGGGCTAACAGAAACCCTTCCCCAGAAGAGTCTGCAGATTGCTGGTGCTTCAGTGTCAGTCAGAACCTCCATAAAACACACAGTTTCTAGCCAGGCGTGGTGGTGCATGCCTATAATTCCAGTTCTGTGGGAGGCTGGGGCAGGAGGATTCCAAGTTAGAAGTCATCCTGGGCATCTTGGTGAGACCCCATGTCCAGATGAAAAGGGATGAGAATGTAGCTCAGTGCGAAGGCCCTGGCTCAATCCCCAGTGCTGCAATAAAACAAAACAAAAAACTCAGCTCGCCTCTTTCTGTCCTTAACAAAGACCCTCTAACCTCCAAGACAGAATTGTTTCTAAGAGCTGCTCTCAGTGGGCTGACTTCGTACCTCCCTCAGCCTTGAGGACAGCCGGGGCACCCATAGCCAGGCCCTCACTGAACCAGGCGCAGACAGTGGGCGCTGGGGAGGCCAGGATGTGACCAGGAGTTTGCTAAACACTACATCCCTGTGCTTCTGGGACTGGTGCCCGTCAGTGGACGGGGACCAGGGGTTAAATATGAGATTTGCACCCTTAAGATGGAGTGGATACCCAGGAAGATTTTCCTCTTGTTCTACATCTGCCTCTGTCTCTCCATCAACAGCACAGCAGTTTTGAAAGCTTTGCAGCTGTCTGTGGGAAAGGCCCATCCTTGGACTGGATCGGATTATTCGTGTGGTTTTCTCTTGTCCTCGTTGGGTCTTCCCGTGCCCGTCTTTCTAAAGCCTGTCGCACCTCCCCCCCTTTGTGGGCGCTGTGTAACACTGTGTGTTTGTTCATCTTTATCTGATGAGTGAATGAATTAATTACAAATAAAAACACAGGAGTCCAGCAAGTGCTGGCATCCTCGGGCACCGTGGGAAGAAAGGCAGAGCTTGCAACTGCCCTGCTAATAGCGATGACCTGCATTCCTTGGCTGGGGAGTTGCAGATTTGGGGAGATTAAAACACATTCCAGCCCTCTGCCGGCACTGTAAACATTGAGAACATGCCTTTTCTTGCTGCAAGAATCTAGAGAAGCAGAAGATGGCAGGCCTGGAGGCGCAGAAGAGACCGCTGATGTTGGCAGCGCTGAACGGCCTCTCGGTGGCCCGGGTCACGGGGCGGGAAGAGTGTCGCCACGATGCCACCCGAATCCCCATGGATGAGAGGGTAAGTGGCGGGTTGGTCTGATGTGTGATTCATTCTCAGGGGTCTTGATATAGGGGAAAGAAACTCCCAACCTGCTAGATGTCTGGTTCGTGTTCTCTAAAACTGAAGAGTGAATTTTGGGAACACCGGAGGTTAAGAACAGAATATACTTACGGGGGGAAAGAAAGCTTCTGTTCAAGAGAGAGAGACAAAAGGGGTGGCCAAGGACCCGGCCTTTTCTAGGGATTTTTATAGAGCAAATCCATGACGCGAGGCGGATCCAAGGTGCGATGGGAAATCCCAAGGTGGGCATGGGGTGGGACAAAACTATGGTCAACCAATAAGATTACAAGCATAATGGCTCAGGAAAAATGGATTAAATCGGGAAGCAAATCACATAGCAAGCAGGAATGAATGTAGAACAAGAGCTTTTCCTGTGGGGGATTGGGTTAGTGACTCTTCCGGGCTTTTATAAGGTGATCAATACCTACTTAGAATATCAGTCCCTGATGTTTATCCTTAGGGAGGTATGTGGTTGCATTTGTTTTATCTTTCATCTTGAGGTCTGGCCCAAGCTGAGGTGCCCCTCCCCTGTAGTTGCAAGGCGTCTCCTGTCTGCGTTGGCTCCTTTGAAGGCCTCACCCTGTCTGACTGCCTATAATATTTCTATCTAACTCAGCTGGCTACAACAGACTCAGGACCCATCCCTGCTCTCGGCCCAGACTATGCCATGAAGTTTTCAGTTTGAGAGTAGGGAAACCTGGTCTAACTCTATCGTATTAAATCGATTCTTCCTGCTTTATCAAATTGGAGCGCCAACGCTTGGCCGTACGGACCAGCCATCAACAGGTTGTGTGAGCCTAGTCAAGTCACTCCATTTCTCTTGGCCTGTTTGCTGCTTTCATAAGACGAGGATACGAAATCGTTTCTCCAGCTTTCTAGTTTTATGGTTTTTGTCAAGGGCTGTTATTTCTTAGGTAGCGATTTCTTTATCCAGACATCTATAGAGATTGTTGAATATGCTGTCCCCTTGGGTAGCTATGAATCGTGGCTGATTCATAGTTGGCAGGATAATGCATTGTGAGAACTGTGGTTTTGAAAAGCAGACAGTTGTGTGGCAGTGTTTCGGAGGTGAAGGAAGGTGTCGGGAGGTTAAGAAGCCGTTGTAGGAATGTAATCGAATGCTAGTAACATTCGGGTGTTAGGTTTCTGCCAGCGTGTATTCAGTATTTGACTGCTCCTAGGTCCCAGAGAGATTCTGTAGAGGGTCATGTCATCAGATAATACCACTCTGTTAAAATTAATTTGGCCACGGAGGGAAACTAAGGGGATGGGATTCAGTGTTCAGGCCTGCACCACTGTAGATCAGTATTGTCTTAAAATTTATCTCGGTCAGAACAGCTGTGTACATGGAGGACAGGCTGTGGGGCTTACGGAGATTAGCAATCTCTGATCATTCCGGCTTCAAGTAGGCATTAATATCGAAAGTATTGATCTTAAATTTCAGCTGAAGCCAATTTGTTCGATTTACAGCATGGATGATAAGGAAAATGGTTATCAGACCAGAAAAGCTAGTGATCAGATTAAGGATGAGACAGATCACCCAGCACTGTGTCCCTTTGCGCACCCTTCGCCATACATACCACAAATAACCTGGTTGTTTTGTTGGGGTCTGTGGGTGAGATCCTCCCGAGAGCTGAAGGCTCACTTCTGTTGCAGTTCAGAACCCTGAAGAAGAAGCTAGAAGAGGGCATGGTGTTCACAGAGTACGAACAGATTCCAAAGAAAAAGGCCAATGGCATTTACAGCACCGCGGCTCTGCCGGAAAACGCGGAGCGCAGCCGCATCCGGGAGGTGGTCCCTTACGAGGAGAACCGTGTGGAGCTGATGCCGACCAAAGAGAACAACACCGGCTACATCAATGCCTCCCATATCAGGGTGAGTGGGGGGCATGGTGGGAGGCCGTGGGGCCAGAGGAAGAGCGTTAGGGGTGAGGCGGGTGTGGTGGTGCACGCCTGTCATCCAGCCACTCTGAAGGCTGAGGCAGGGGGATGCTAAGTTGGAAACCAGCCTGGGCAACTTAGCCACTTAGAGAGATCCTAACTCAAAATAAAAGAAAATAGAAAGGGTCAGGGTATAGAGCTCAGTAGTACCACACTTGCCGGACATACGCAAGGCTCTTCATTCAATGCCCAGGTCTGCCTCAAAAAAAAAAAAAAAAAAAAAAATATTATGGGCTACAACTGTGCCTCCTGACCTGTCCCTCAGCCCCCTACAGGGTGCTTTTGAAGTCCCATGCTTTGACATCTGTCATCTGTCCAAGCAGAGAGTGTAGCTTGAAGTCTCAACTCAGCTATTTGTCAAGCTTGCTTATTACTGAGGGTCAGAGTTTTTCCTCAGTGAGTGACAGCCCTCTCTAAACTCCTGGGGAAAAGGAGGATTGTCCTTCTCAGCTAGTAGTTAGCAAGTGATGGAGACTTTGGAAGTCACAGGTACCACGGTCATTGAAGTTTTTATTCTGGTCCATAGCAGCAAAAACTCTCTTCTTGTTGGTAGCACACTATGGATTCTTCATTTTAGAGGTGACTCCGTTTTGCAAAACATTTAGAAGAGTGGACTAATTTAAAGGTGTACTTGATACTGAATCTCACAAGACTTGCAGCTTTAGTCAGTGAATTGGTAGTCTTGGGCTTTTGTTAGTATTTCAGACACTTCAGGCTTTCGTATCTCTATATTTCAGAGCTTCGCTAGACCTCAGCCAGCATTTAAAGTTGAGGAGTTTAAAAACCAGAAAGTACTGTTGGAAGAAACCTGGAAGGGCAACAATCACAGATCATGTTGGCGTTTTTGCTCTTTAGTTTTGAGAATGTGAGCCAAAGCAATAAAGAAATGAACCCCAGGACGCTCTTTGCTAAACAGAGGGTGGACTTAGTTTATTTAGATTCTGAAACAACGAGCAGAATAAGGCACTCAAAGATTCAGGGGCTGCAGCTGCTCCTCGCTGCCGTGTCTGTGAAAATCTTACCAAGCGGTGTTCTTTTGCCTCATCCTTGGGCCAAATCTCCTCCACCGTTTTCCATCTGCTCCCTGGAAAAAGCTGTCACTGCAAACGGCGCCTGCCGGATACAGTTAAGCGCGATGCCTCCCTTCCTGCTCGTTCTCTGAGGCCCAAGCTTTGTCGCTGGGACCCAGGGTAGACACTGGTGCATTTAACAGACTGCAGAGCCTGTGAGGGCTTGTCCTTGTGTTTTTGGAACAGAGCTGTATATTTTGCCAATGTTTTCTCCCCTGGGTTCCCAGCAGCCATTAACGCAGAGCAGAGATTTATTTGCTCTAGAGGTAGATTCACATCTGTGAAATCTACCTCGGTAGCGCTGGTTGTGGAGATTTTACTGCCGTTTTTAATTCGCTCCTGTCAATACTTGGAATCCACAGAGAGGCCCCAGGCAGCAGCATCTCTGGAAGGATTTATGGTTCCTATATGTTGGGTGCTAAACAGCCTGATGTTGAAAATCACAGTTCCACAGATAAACTAAACTCCTAGCCAGTGAATATATGAATGTTTCTCGCACCATACTTGGAAAATAGATTTTTCTTGCTAGCTTTAACCTGAACATGTCTTATGTAATGAGACAATCCCTGACATTGGTTTGGCTTGAATCGAGGTATACTATATGGTTTCATAAAATAAACGAGGGCAGAAAGTTTGAACAGCGATCACGTTATTGCGCCTGGAACTCTCGGAGCTCTGCCTTACATGAGTGGGTAAGAAGAAGGCCTGTCCTTGCGAATCAAGGTGCAGGAGTGCAAGAAGAGCAGACGGAATCCCTGCAAAGGCCACCTCCTCTTGTTAGCGTGACCTTCCACATCTGGGCCTCAGCTTACGCCCTGTGACTCTCCGCAGCTAGCATATATATGTGTATTTTTAATGTGCACTAGTTTGCACATACTGTGAATTATAGACAAAAATAGATGAGGTTAATATAGTTTGATAGGTTTGAGTGGCAAAAAAGGTAGTATTTCCATGGGAGAACGTGTCACTGGCTGTCACTAACCCATCTGGCCCCAGGCCTGCTACTCAGGTTTGAAGGTGGCTGTGCAGGAACGGGTCTGCACAGGACCCCCTCGATCTTGGGGTTCACTTGCTGACGCTTTCCTTGGTTGCAGGTGGTGGTCGGTGGGGCCGAGTGGCACTACATCGCGACTCAGGGGCCCCTGCCGCACACGTGCCATGACTTCTGGCAGATGGTGTGGGAGCAGGGGGTGAACGTGATTGCCATGGTGACTGCAGAAGAGGTAAGGGGCGTGACACAGCCCGAGTCCTCTTTCTGGGAAAGGATGGACAGAGGATGGCGCTAGGTCCGAGGACTTGGCTGCCCACCTTCCCCTTGCTGCTCTGTCTCCGCAAATCCTGTCCCCTATGGTCTGCGTCCCTTTTCTAAGAATGTCTGACCCCACACCTAGATAGTTTTTGTGGTGGCTTTCTCTCCTCCCATGGTCACGTGACTCCTAACGTTTCTGTTGGGCTTGCTGCGCATGCCGATGAAAACAAAGCCACACAAAACCAAAAGCCGCCACACTTGAGTTCCACCCGTCCCCTGTGGGGACCAGCACCACCTTCTTCCCCCTGGACTTGGAGAACCTGGGGGTGCTCTGAGCCCAGCGACATCCATTTGAGACCCAGGCCCGGCCCGCCCACATGCCGTGGTGCTTGTCAGCCGAAAGGGGGCCAGAAGCCGTTGTTCCTGGAGTGGTATCTACTCTGTGGGAGAGGAGAAAAGAAAACCGTGTCTCTTCCTTTGCCAAGGCAAACACAGTGTTTGTGTTGTAGCTGGAGCGCTCCGTGCTGCCCCGTCCCCAAGGGGTTGCGCTTGCTGCGCTGGGGGAGGGAGAGGTGTTGCGTTGCTTCTCTTGTCACAGTCTCAGATTCTTTTCCAGCCACCTCCTTTTTGTTCCTTTCATGAAATGCCAGCTTCTGTTTCTGTAGTCGCTTAAGGGAGCAGCTTCCTGCATTTCTACCAAGACTCACGATGTTGCAATAACCCTTTCCTAACTGCTGTGCAGGGCCAGGGCGAAGAGAATGGGGGCGGGGTTCAGGGGGTCACATTGTTCTGTTGTTGGGGCAGTGCAATCCAGAACAGCCCTTTGGGTGATGGTGTGCAGGGGCCTCGAGCTCTCTAAGGCCTGTTGGGCTGGGTTGACCTTCAGTGTGACCTTGCCACCAGCAGGTAAACTCTCCCTAAAGTCTCTAGACTGGATTTGTCACCTTACCAGGTGCAAGGGATTCATCACCTACACATAACGCTGTGGTCTGTGCCCACCTTGGGACCGTGTGCTGAGGGACACACATTCTCCTGTCCCCGGAGCTTATGTCCTGTCAAGAGGACAGTACAAAGGGAGCGATAAATTAAGTTCAGGTAGCACTGAGTCCACAGAGCACGCGGGCCAGGTAGTGGGAAGAACAGTGGGTGTGGCCTCACCTGAGCGGGGAGTCAGGGCCCGCTTGAGGTGGTAGCAGGTGAGCTGGGACATCTGTGACATGTGCCATGTCAGAACAAAGCAGAGCCTAGCCGCCTGGGGACAGCCAGGGACTTGACATTGCTCCATTCAGAGTGGATGAGCAACTGTAAGCTCAGCGTCTCAGGGAAACCTGCTTTGTGCTTCAAAATTGAGGTGCCACCACTGAACCCAGTGTGTACAGCATGGTTATCATAACCCTTCCCATTTGGGTCAGCCACGGAAGCTCCTGGAAGCGGTCCTAGGCCTCCTACACTCTGCCCCTCCCTGCGTCCACCCGTCCCCGCCCGCATCCGCTCCTAATCCGCCCCTCCACGGCCAGCCCTTCCTTGCTTCCCACCCCACCCATTCCAGTGATTTCAACACTGTCAAATTGAAAACTAGACCTCTGTAAATGATTGACAATGCATATCTTAAGAAAAGAGGAAACAAGGAAGGCAGAAAGATTGGTGATGTTGGAGATGCAAGCTGAACTTTATCACTCCCATTGTGCAGGGAATGAGGCGCACACCCTCTTCGGTGAGTGCGACCTCTCCCACCTGCTTGCGCCCTGCAGCTGCCCTGAGGACCCTTCTGTGCCTTGAACACACCCCTCTTGTCCCTCTCTGCACTTTGCACTCACTTTTCTCTGAATTTCCCGTTGTGGATCTGATCTTAAAATGAAGAACATAAGAGCTTCCCCTGGCTTAATCTTTTCCCCATTTTTCTCTCACGTGTGCTTCAGGAAGGCGGACGAAACAAAAGCCACCGATACTGGCCCAAACTGGGTTCCAAGCACAGTTCAGCCACCTATGGCAAGTTCAAGGTCACCACGAAGTTCCGGACAGATTCTGGTTGCTATGCAACCACAGGCTTGAAGGTCAAGCACCTTTTGTCCGGACAGGAAAGGACAGTGTGGCATTTGCAATATACAGACTGGCCGGACCACGGCTGCCCGGAGGATGTCCAAGGGTTTTTGTGTAAGTTTTGCTCCTCAGTCTTTCTTAAGATGCTTTGTCTTAAGTGGCAAAAGTTTTATAACACTGAAGTATCTGTCCTTTCATTACTGTGTTAATCATAGCAGAATAATAGATGTCACTTATTATAGCCTGTACCTTTTATGCAAATGAGCTCAGACTGAGAAACTAATTAGCTACTCATTAATCAGTAACTGTTCTGATGCATACTACAATATGGAGGTCTGGGGTGGCATTTTGCGTTTGCATCTTGTCATTTTCTATTTTTTTTCAGATTTTAATTTGTTTTCTGTGTTGATGCTTGTAAACTGCTTATGATAGTTTTTTTCACTAGTATCGAAGCTTCTCTAGGAAATGTCTATTCCTCAGAGGTGTCTTCTAGATGTGGCTGGCTCTTGGCCTCTGTCTGTCCAAAGATCCTACCTTCCCAATTTATTAGGGATGAGAAATTGATGTCTATTTGCCCCAGCACTCAGACCTTTGGTGCTGGACTGTGGTGATAATTATGACCCCAGACAATCACAGTGTTGTTGTACAAAGGAGAACTGACTATAACAGGTATGACAGCCTGGCTAAAGTAGCACAGGCATCCATAACAATAGCATCAGGCACAGCCTGGAAACTGACAGACTGAGGGAACTATTCATATGATACCTTTAACCATAGGACCAAGACCTACAGTTACATAACAAAACGACATAAACCAGGGACTTACAGGCAGTGAGTTTCCCCTTAGTAGACTGATTTTACCCTGGGCGGGAGGTTAAGGGAGAGGGGACACACAGAGAGATAAGGGAAGAGAAATGTAGCAGAGGCAAGGCTGGAGGACAAAGGATGATCACCCAACCTTTGAGGACAGGAGAGAAAGAGTGGAGGAGAAAACAAAAGAATGAGGAAATGAACCCCACAGCCCAGAGTCCATGTTCACTCCTGAAAGGATCAAAAAGTCAGGAAACAGTGAGGAAAGAGAGAAAAAAGATGAACAAGACAAAACAAACAATAAAAGTAAAAACCTAAACAACACCCCCCCCCAAAAAAAGACAAAAAGGAACACAAAACAACAGCAAAAACCAGTAAATTCCTCTGGTGCCTCAGTTCTGTGGTAATCTGTGCTGCGTAACCCGGCTGGATGAGTAGGATGAGTGCCGGGTGCAGTGCTGATCTTGGCCTCCGGCTCTGTGGGCTGGGGCCAAAGTCTTCAGCCAGTAGCTTTCTGGATCGCCCTCGATGCCCACCCACGTCCGCTTACCCTGTTTGTCTCCGCATTGCTGTCCTGGTTGCGGTGGCACCCTCAGACAGAGACACCCGAGGCTGCTCCCAACCCTGGTACAGTTGGCCCCTCCTGGCCCTTGGACAGCCTCCTCTGTTCCACTCCAATGCGTCTCTGTCCTGTCACTCTTCTCTCCTGCATTCCTTGGGGACGGGCAGGGGAGTGTTCACATGCTAGTACGGATGAGCTTTGAAGACATTACTCTCTGTGGAATCAGCCAGGCACAAAAAGCACAAATACTGTAGGATTCCTCCTATACGAGGTAGGTAGAGTAGGCAAAGCACGTGACAGAAAGTCCTAACGTAGAATAAAGGTTCCTGGGCTGGGGTAGGGGAGATGGAAATTTACTATTGCGTGGGCACGTACCTTTTGTTTGGGACAATAACAAAGTTCTGAGAATGGATAGTGTCATGGTTGTACAGTATTGTGGATATACTTAAGGGCCCTGAGAATGGATAGTGTCATGGTTGTACAGTATTGTGGATATACTTAAGGGCCCTGAATTGTACTCTTAAAAGTGGTAAGAATGGTAAATCTTACATTGTGCCTGTTTTATCACAATAGGAAAAAAACCACAGAGAAAGAGAATAAAAACTTACTATTTTTTATTTCTCATGAAGGCCTACGTCTGCCTCCCAAGGCCCTAGTTCCCCCACGGCAGTAAATCTCTGCCTTCTCACCGCTGTGAATGGAGATACTAACGATTAGTGAAATCAGCTTGTAGTTTTTGAAACCCAGATGTGCTCAGACAACTAACTCATTAATTTACATATTTTTTAGGGTGTGATATTTTAGAAAGTAATTCACCAGAGTAGTAGTTTATTTGCAAGGCCAGAACTCGGGGGTGAACACCACTGTGGTGAGCATATGATTGATCGGGCCCTGGGACGCAGAGAGGCCCTGGCAGTCACAGTCTTAAGCTGTTGACAGTCCCGTGGGAAGGGCAGAGCAGTGACTGCCATTCACGAGCCGCCCATCAGCCAGTGGACAATGTCAAAACCTGGATTTTTATTGTCATGGGATACAGGGGCAAGTGGAGAAGAAGGAGGGGAAAAGAGAGAGTAGACTTTTAAGACCCCAAAAGAACCAGTCTGCAAGTTCTATCAGAGATTCTGGTGCATACATCCTTCTACCAGGGTTTCATTTGCCATTAAAGTGATGATACTTAGAGTTGGATAGGCAAAGTACAGAGCAGAAAGATGAGTGATCAAAGGCCCTCTAGCTAGTGTGGAGCTCATGTTGGTATACTGGTGCCCAGTAACTATCTCCTCTTCCTCGTCTTCTTTCTTCTCCTTTTCCTCCTCCTTCTCCTCCTTCTCCTCCTCCTGCTCCTCCTCCTCCTGCTCCTCCTTCTCCTCCTCCTTCTCCTGCTCCTCCTTCTCCTCCTCCTTCTCCTGCTCCTCCTTCTTCTCCTTCTCCTCCTGCTCCTCCTCCTCCTCCTGCTCCTCTCCTCCTCCTTCTCCTCCTCCTCCTCCTTCTCCTCCTCCTCCTACTCCTCCTCCTCCTCCTCCTCCTCCTCCTCCTCTCTCTCTCCCTTTCTCTCTGTCTTTCTACTCAGATGTCTTCCCTTCTCTTTGTTCTAGCTCTAAGCTTGAGAAAGCGTTAATAATTTGCCTGAGGTCAAACAGCCAGGTTTTGTGTAGATCTTCGCAGACCTTTCTTTCCTTACTGCGCTCTTCCACATTCCTTTCAGATACTCCTTTGCTCACTGACTTCCTAAAATCTTCTCGAAGAGGCAGAACATAGAAAATGCTAGAAGTCTGTTGGTTTGATGATTGGCTAACAGCCCTTATGAAGCATTGTCTTTACAGTGGTCGAAAGGGAAGCCAGATCTTTTAAATCTGAGCCAATTTATAGAAAGGCAGTCTAAATTACTGAAAAATACAAAGACTGTTTTCAAAGGTTAGAAATTGACTTGCTGAGTTATTTCTTCAAAACTCAAAGCAGGTACAACAGTGTGCAGACCCTTAGAAGTGTTGACCTTCGAAGTCTTGTAGGTTTTAAGGATTTTCTCTGTATTTAAATGTAATTACCTGGATGCAAGTGCCTGAACCAGGTTAGCGCCCGCCCTTCGGAAGTCTTCATTGAGTTACAGCTTCAGGGACGTTATTAGAGTGATTTAGAGAGGCAGCATCCACTCTAATCCAGTTTCTCTGCATTTTATTAGAAACTCCAGTGGGAAGTACCATGTGCTGAAATGCCCAACATTTCTTTTTCCTCTTAAAATTAAGCTGAAGAAGAGCTGTGTGTCTTGTACATGAGCCCTCGGTCAGGCAAAAAACCTGATCCCTTTCCTCCCTTGTGGAGAAATTGCTAAGGGAGTTCTGTGCCTAGTAGGTAGCTCCAGTTGATACCAACAGTTATTCTGTCCATTCCTCTGAGGGTGTTTTCTTTTCTTTTCCTTTTTTGTTTGTTTTGTTCTAGCTCATTGTATATTGCTACTAGTAGTCCTACTGCAGTCAGAATAACTAGTGTTAGCACTACTCTCCTAGTCATCACCGTAAAAATAATACTAGTTTGTCTCTTTGGTAAACTCCCTCAGATTGTTTTGTAATTGAATAGGTTATAAAGGAAAATAGTGGTACTTATTAATTGCCTATAAATCAATGCGCTTAAATGACTAGAATGGTTCAGTGCACTTTTTCTCTTCAACAGCTGGAGCATTTCTCCTTGTTTACATTGATCAATTAGGATGAGGTTTGCTGAGTATCAAGAACCTTTAAGCCCATCTGTTCTCTGAGCTACTGCAAAAATTTAAATTACAAACTTACCTTTTTCTGTTTTTTGGACTTTCTGCTGATTACGTATATGTACCTTCCCCTTTTCTGTAACCATGGGGGAAAGCCATTGAGGCTTACATTGCCGTCGTCTTTCTTTTGCCTCCAGTTGGAGCTGTGGACAGACCCGCCAGGGCGGGGCAGCTGTTGGAGCGGTGGGGGGAATCACACCCCATCCCCCACCTCCCCAAGGAGGGCTCATCTTGAGCTATTCACACACCTCAGGGAGTCGCTGCCGACAGGCACACTCCCCAGAGTCTGTTTTAAAACCTAAAAATGAAGTTGAGGCTCTTGACATTCACAGCTTCTTTGAGGGGACGGGGATGGGGCAGGTGGCTGCTGCTCTCCAGCAGAAATTGGCTCTGACATGAGGGCATTTCAAGGGGACCTCGCTGCTGTTCTGATCCCAGTCTGTTCATAGTAGGCGTTGCTGTAAGTAATGTCTAGAATCATCTGCTCGGGGGACTTAGGGATTTGCAGAGGAGAAAACAGAATTTAATTTTTAAAAAAGAACTGTTTAGTTTAAAGAACAAATTCTCCCTCGGACTAATTGACTCCCAGCTGGTCCTTTCTGGATCCAAGGCCGTATAGCAGGTACCAGCCAAGTAATTAATATCTTGTAAGAACTGTAAATCATTGTCACGTAAAAAAACAAGAGAGATTCATCGTGGGTCCTGCCCCCGCCCCCAAATTGTGTTCAGAGTGGTGTAGCAGCGACAAGGTAACGCACTGTATCCCGCAGCCTACCTGGAGGAGATCCAGTCAGTGCGTCGTCACACCAACAGCATGCTGGAAGGTGCCAAGAACCGGGCCCCTCCCATCGTGGTCCACTGCAGCGCGGGCGTGGGCAGGACCGGCGTGGTCATCCTGTCGGAGCTGATGATCTACTGCCTGGAGCACAACGAGGTGAGTCCGCCTGTTTCCCCAGGACTCTGCCTTGAGGAGTCTGCACCACGGCCACACTTTCACCGGGCGGTCCTGTCTGTTCAGGGGTTCATTTCCACACTCCTGACCAGAGTGTTCCAGACCCTTGGTTCCTAGTGTGACTCAGACATTTCCAGCCTTCCTGGTGTTTGGTCTCTTACAACTCGGCAGAAATCTCCAAAACAGAGTAGAACAAATACTCAGGAAGTCTGATCTTAGTCAGTGTTTCCTTCCTGGAGCAGACAGTCCGGCTGGACTGGGTGGCATGTGGCATGCTGGGGTGCTTCATCCCCTGGAGTTCAGATGTGTCTTGCACTGTTTTGGCCTAAGGCCCATGTGAGAATATGTGGTCTTGGGAAATGTTTTCCATTCTTCAAGGTGGTGTTTTGATTGAAAGGAGTCCTTGCTCTTGTCCAGGTTGGGGCCGTGCAGAGAGCAGGGCAGGTGCTCTGTCCGGGCATCCGCGGATGCCCCAGCTCTGCTCTGAGCTTGTGCGGTGCTGGGTGCGTCCTTTGTCCGCTGCACTGTGAGGGAGCTGCACTGAGAAACATAAACACAGTCGAAGGCTGAAGACCGGTACTGCCTTCTGTTCAGGTTCCAGGTTTTGGTTTTGGGGGTTTTGTTTCTGTGGTGCTGGAGATCAGACCCAGGACTCTGCACACCTTAGGCGAGTGCCCAACCCCCAATGGGCCCCGTCCCGTGTTGTAAGGTCCTTAAGGGGTGTTTACGTGTTTCCCCTACCTGGTTCTCGTCTTTGTCATGCCCAGAAGCAGGACACAGGTGGCTCTTGTTTTACAGATGAGGAAACTGAGGCCCAGAGACAGTCATGTGACTGGTCTCATGCCCCATGGCTCTTGGGCAGGGGTGTGCAGGCTGGAAGCAAGGTCCAGCTCCTCAGCTACAGTGCTTTCCTGCCTTCATTCTGCAGTGTTACCACAGGACATTGGACAGTATAAGGAACCTCCTGTAGAGGTTTGGGACAAATGACAGAGTGTCATAACGGGGCACTCCCTATGGTAGTGTTGTGTTTTCTTAATGTCCTCAGAGGTTAGGAAGATTAAATTTTACCCTAGGAAGTTTGTCATGTTGACACGTTCAGGAAAAGAATAAATGCAAAGTGTAAACATATTCAAAGGGTTTTTAAACTCCTGCCTAGAAAGTTAAATTTGGAAACTTTTAGTCTACCTGAGCTGCGGAGAAGTAGGGGGTATGGCCAGCTGCAGCCTAATGCTTAAAAAACAAAGCATAACAAAACAAAAAAAAACCTCCCCCTAAACTTGTAAATAAGCAAAATGCTTATTATGGAACTAGTTGACACTACGGAGCAGAAATTTTGTTGTCTTTTCTGCTTTTCTTTTTTCCACCACTTTGTCTCACTTGGAATTTCTTGAGTATCAGCTTCCTGAGCACTGCCACTCCTGGATGTGTCTTGATGTCCCTGGTGCGGTGAGCAGTGTGCCTCGAATCCAGATCGCCCCAGTGATTGGAAGACGCAGCACCCTGCGCTGTCGTAGCCCACACTGGCTGGACCAGTGGCCTGCGGGGGGAGGGGACCTCATCATCGCCGCCTACTTCCTGACGTTTTTTCCTCTTGCGATACTTCCGGCACCAGTGTCTCCACCTGCTCTCCCTTCCCTGCCCGCACTTCCTCTGGCAGCCCTCCCCCGCCGCCCCTTTGCAGTCTGAGAAATTCCTCAGTCTGTCGCAACGCGAGCGAGCAGTGATTCTGTCCCGAGTCCGCAGGGAGGCCATGGCTCCATGAAACAGTGACATGGGTTCCCTGCTGGCCAGGTGTAATGGGAGCATGGGACTCACGTAGTGCATAGTGAAGCCATCCCGGGGTAGAGCGGGAGTATGGGCCAGCAGGGCCTCCCTGGGGCTTGGTGAAGACTCCAAGGGGTGCAGTCCCCTCCATGCCCAGCCACATGCCAGAGCAGCCTTTGCTGGTTCGTGACCGTCCAGGAGGGACTTCCATTCCCGTTGACGTGCAGACAGCGAGATGACTCATAGCTCTCGCTTCCTTTCCGCCAGCACAAGTACCGCCAGCCTTATCTGTCCCGTTGTCCACAGCTGCTGTTGGAAAAAGGTGGGCGGGAAAGCCCTGGGCATTGTTGTGATGCCGTATCAGGCCTGGCTGGTCAGATCCCAGCCCCTGTTGAGGGGAGATTAGAAGATGTTTGAGTTTGTTTTCGAAACAGATTTTTGATAAATGAGTATGACGTTCTGTGCCCCGTTTCTCTCCCTTCCAAATATTCCTGCCTTGTTTCCACAGCTGCTAGGATAGATGATGTGTTTTTAAAAAATACTGTTTAATTTTTTTAAAAAATTGATGACAGTAAAAGCTACATTGCCATCAGTCCCCCTCAGAATTCTCGGGCTGGGGATTTAGCTCAGCGGCACAGCGCCTGCCTGGCAAGTGCAAGGTCGTGAGTTCGATTCCCGGTACCGGAAAATAAAAATAAAAAAGAATCCTCCATCTGGCTTCAAACACACCTATCCCTTTGTTCTGCTGCTTTCTGAGGCACTTCTGGGAGTCCTCTTTCTTGAGTGTCTTTATTCGTGCTGTGGTCTGGCTGCCTCACTGTCTTGAATTGATTCCAAATATTTACCTTTCATTTCAACTTCGAGAAAGAGCCAGGAGTCACACAGTGCCAGATCTGGAGAATGAGGTGGATAAGGGCACAGCGTGATGTTTCTATTTGACAGAAATTGCCATGAACGCTTTGCATGGGTGCAGGATGTCAAGGCTGTCCTGACAGTGGGACTTGGGACACTTGTTGTCTGCCTGGCTGTCCAGGAGGGGGCAGTGGTGATCGAGGAGTGCTGGGACAGCTGGCTCCAGCACCATGACCCACCCTGTTAGTTTCCTCCACAGAGCTCCACGGAGCTCTGCTCTCAAAGGACTCACACGTCTCGTTCGATACTCCGAGCATTTTTGATCAAAGGCCTTTCCCCGAAGGTGACGCGTTCAGAGCCTGTGCTCTGATGTGGTAAACACGCTTCCTGATCGTGGTCCCAGGCTGTGAGATAGCAGGATGGCGCTGCTGGTCACCTTCGTACTCATTAATGTGAGGAGCATGAGTTGTTTTTAGGAAGAACACACTGTGTGCCAGACGTAGCACCAAATGCTTTATGGGTGTTTTGACATTTGAACCTGCCAGGTAGACACTGTTTATTTCCCCACCTTATCGCCGAGGAAGAGCACCCAGCAAGGGCAAGGCCACCCTCGTAGAGAAGAGCACCATGATCCTTATTTTACAGATGAGGAAACTCAGACCCAGCGGTGCCTTAATCCCATCCTCAGCAGGGCTGAGAGGAGCGTCAGGTTGAACCCCAGCCTGCAAGTCCTGTCCAGCAGAGCGGACAAACTCTGTTTAAAATCTCACACCAGTGCTGCCTGGCAGCCAGCTCGCCCCATGGCTGGTGTAGACTGACCTGTAAACCCAGCGGGGGCAGAGGTCTTTGTTCGATCTGGGGCCGAGCTCAGGCAGCGGATGGGGGCTCCTGAAGGAGGGAGAAGGGAGTGAGCCCGGGGAGCTTCCTGTCTCAGCGTGTGTCCTTTTCTGTCCTCTTGCAGAAGGTGGAGGTCCCGGTGATGCTGCAGCTGCTCAGGGAGCAAAGGATGTTCATGATCCAGACCATCGCTCAGTACAAGTTTGTCTACCAAGTCCTCATCCAGTTCCTCCAGAACTCCAGACTCATTTAACCCCCGTCCAGCACCTGGAGAGGGGCCTAGGTCCCCTCTGCACAACATCGCTCCCATCACAGGGACCCGGAGCCTCAGCAGGAAGGCCACCGGCTCCCTGAAGGCAGGAGCCCAGGTCACCCGGCAACATTGTGTATTATTTTATATGAGATAATTTATTTTTTTCCTCTTTGGAATAACTTTTATGAATTATTATAATGCAGTTTTCACAGTAATACAGTACATTGTATTTGAACCACAGTTTGACTGATCTGCATTGTAAGATGTCAGGAGGGAAGGTTGCCCAGTGGGTCACACTGGGGACAGAGGCACAAGGCACACATCTCTAGTGAGGGGAGTGGCAGCCTGATTTGTAACCCAGCTTAAAATTCATTGGCTTAGCCCTTCATTCCAAAAATCAGAGATGGCAAGAAAATTAATTCATCATGAAATGGAAAGCAAAGGGCCACAACCCTTTCCCAAAGGAAGAAGCACTGCTCCCTTCTATTTGGGGGCTCAGGAGGCGTGCTTGGACAGTGTCCTCTCTATTTCTGCCCTCATCCTTAGTAACCTCTTTCGCACCACCCATACCCTGCTGCCCCAAGCTTGAGTTAAACATAGGAGCGGGCGGGAGGTCCTTTGCCGCCTTTCAGCCCGAAGGAGTTGCCTGGCTCCGTGTCTGTCTGGGCTCTGCAGCCTGTCTCCGTCCGGGGCCTGTGCCCGGGAGCCTGCCGCTTCTCCCATTAGCACGCAGATCCGGATCTGGTGGTGTAGGTGCCCCGGGCTGGGCTGTCCTGCAACCCGACGCCTCCCCTGGTTAAAAGCGGAGAAAGGAGCAGCACAGGAGGAGGAAGCGTTGGGTAGGCCTTTGGTGTTGTGCCTCAGTTAAAAGCGATATGTGGACGATGGTGCACGCAGGTCAGGGGCTGGGTGTGTTCCTTCTTCCCATCAGTCACTGTCGGAGGAAACGTCATGAAGGAAACAGCTGGGAAAACTGATTTCCAGCAGCCGCTTGGTACTTAGCTGCCAGGGTCCCGGCCAGCATTGCACATGCGGCCCCATGGTGGGAGTGGAATTGACCTCCCGGTCCGCCTCTTGCTGGTCCTAGGAAAGCGGGGTGGGCGCATCGCCCACCAGTCTACCCCACCTTCCTTTCTTACCACCCGTGCTCTGCTCAGCAGTGGCTGTGAGACCCTCGGTTTGAAACTAAGCTCACATTGCTTCCTTGTGACATCACTGGTCAGCAGCCTTCCGAGTTTCTTAGGTTCGTACAAAGAAGTCGTGTCTCGCACTTGTCCCCCACTGCTGTCCGGCTTTGTGTTTTGTTTTGTTTCCCTGAGCCGCGAAGACAGAGCAAGTGTGTCACTGTATCAGGTGGAAGGAGCATGGCTCTGTGACCGCGGGCCACACACAGGAACGGGTGCCATTGGCGATGACGCAGGCCAGCTGCACTTCTGGCTGGTCCTGGTGGTGCTGCAGGTGTAGCTCAGGGTTTCTATCTGGAAGCGTGGACCTTGCCCTCTTGTCTCCTCTGAGAAGAGTCAGCTCAGGGGCATAACTTCGTCTGAGCTTTGTCGATTCAAGACTTTTGGTGGATGCCCTGAAAAGAAAACCATGGGTAGCACACAGATTTCCAGTGCCACAGAGATGCCAATCCCTGGGCTGAAAGGGTTTTGTTTTCAGTTCCTTAGAGACCTTTTTGCCCTTGGATAGTCTGACGCTTGGTCTCAGTTGCCAGTTGTTTGCGTGAGGGAGAACTTCAGTATTTGTCACCTCTGAGCTCCAGCGTGGGCCCTGGAGAAATGGCTTATGTGGACAGCATGCAAGCATGACTTGTCTTGGAGCTCAGCGTTCAGGGCTTCCTTCAGACCCATTACCGCTCCCAGTTTGTGCTTTCAGAAAGTTCATTAAAGCACAGGCTGCAGGGAGGAAGTGGGTGTGATATCCAACTTGCTAGCCAAAGTTTATATAGAAACCCAAAGGAAAACATTCAAGTTATTTCGTACATTTCATTTTAAAGAAAAAAAAAAAATGCTTCCGATTCTTCTGCACATTTTGCTTTCCTTTTTGCATCTCCAGCAAATGCCAACCTGTCTCCTGTTAAATTAGCAGCAGCCAGTTAGGTCCTTTTAGTGGCATCTGCATAATAATTATCTAGAGATGCTTTATATCTGGGAAGCAGGCCAAGGAATAAACCTTGAAGCAAAGTGTATTAAATTAGTTATCTAGTTAGAGCTTTTGGAATGATTTCCTGATGATGTATCAAGGCTAAAGCTGGGGCTGTCAGGGTCTGTTGCTGCTGGTAGGATTTGAGGAGAGAAAATTAAAAGTGGGGGAAAGAAAAGATACCATCTCAGAGACAGACTGTCGCAGTGTTTTCCAGCCTCTGGTTTTGAAGTTGCCCAGCCACGATGTTTTGCCCTTGCATTTGCACTCAGCGGGCTGTGCTGACCAGAGTGTTTGTCCTGGTTCCCTGTGGTCCCTCGTGTCCTCATCCCTGACACAGGGAGAGATGGGCCACAGTCGGCTGTGCAGGGCTCCCCCGAGATGCCGCCTTTCGGTAAGAGACCCCAGCAGCATCTGCAGGTGACTGCCACATCTGCACCCAGCCCAGCCCCACATGGGCAGTAGGAGGACCTAGCTGCCTTAGAGAAGGATGACAGATGCTGATTTTCTCCCTCGGGAGTAAAGGCAGATGTGGGTCTCTGTTTATGTGCAAGGGAGGCTGCCGGGAGGGTGCGAGCACCTCACGTCTCAGCATGGATTATTATTTTGACTAATCAGCTTCCAGGGAGCTTAGAGAGAATTTTACTTACACAAATTTTGTCATTCTGGATTGGAAAGAGCAACTGCTTTTGATCGTGATGCAGCTGTCCTGCTTTGCCAGGGTATACTTGACCCTCTCTCTGGCCGCCTCCTGCATCTGCCTGCCTGCAGGATCTTGTAGACGCACATCTTATGGGATGTCCGGTGGTTATCCTTTGCTGGTGCATTGTCTGTGTTGAACTGGATTGGCCGACCGTCATCCAGTTGTTACAAAGCATGACATAGGGAGCCCAGAAGTGCCCTCAGTCAGAAAAGCAGAACGCACCTTCTAACTTCTCATTTTCAATGGTGCGGTTGATGGGCAGCAGGTGTTATTGATGATCTTCTTTTGGAGAAGACACGTCAGTCATGTGGGGTGGGAGAGGACTTTGTAGGAGGTGTGGCATGATCGGCTCAGGCCGCTGCTGGTGTTACTGTTCGTCATTCATCTCGTGTCAGGAGTGACCCTGCGGGGCACCTTAGAGCGAGGATTCCCAGAGGTGCCAAGTGGTCACCGAGGGGCTCTCACGATGGCCCTTTCATGGTAGGGATTCCAGCTTTCCCACTTAACCAGAGGTTCAGTAGCTGTGTCCTGTCGTATTGCCAGTGGTTTTGATGAGGCATCCACCGTGCTCTCGTTTAGTGATTTCCTTCATGAGCAGAGTATGAGCGCCTGTAGCTGCAGATGGAGAGGTAGGAGTCTTCCTTGGGACTGCAGATTTCCCGGTGGCCGTGCCCTGATCAGGGGCAGCTAGGTGGCTCCTTTGGGCAGAGCAGAGCTGTAGGACGGGAACGTGCATTTGACACGTCCTGAAGAGCAGAATGGTTCTGGGCTCTCCCTTAGCTCTGAGTCATTTGGGGGCAAACACCTTGCTGATGCCCGTGTGGAAAAGGCCAGCACTGTGCCTTCCACGACAGATGTGTGAAGGTCTTTGACCCAGTTCTGCCAACCCGAATCATCCAGAGGTCACTGTGATGCAGACGACCCGTGGAACTCGGCCATCAGCTTAGCCCGTCAGGACTCAGCCTGTGCCCGCCTGTTCCCGTCCTTTGCATGTCCATTATAAACTCAGCATTTTAAGCCATGGCCACCTTTTTTATCTTCTCCAGTTGAAAGTAGCTGCATCTTCTTTCTTAAGATCCAACTAAAAAGTCCCCCACACACACACCCATGAGGCTGGCGCCGCTTGGTCGCATCCGCTGGGTCTCCGGCGTCACTTGGTACAGAGAAGGGGCGGGTGTGCGTCTGTCCCTGCTGTTCCCGCTCTCCTTCTTCTCATTTTACAGAGACCGGGGACATGGAGTTGGGAGGCAGGAGGCCGAGGGCCGGGGCAGCCTGCGTGTGACAAGTGTCTGCAGAAAAAGTCACGGTCCTTCTGCTTTGTTCTGGCCACTGGCATCCTTCTTCCTAAAAATGACCCTAAGTTTGCCCAACGAGGAGCCCGCCATGGGGAGAGAGAGGGAAGGTTTTAGTCCGTCCTGAATTTCCAACAGTTCTTGGATTCACACTTTCTATGATGTCAGTGTTTGGAAGCGGCCCCTGGGGAAAGTGTTGGTGTCACTGCCAGGTTCACAGGGTCCTCATGGCCCAGGGAGAGCATGAGGAGGTCCTAAGCTGTGCCTCTGGCCCACCGCGTGTGCTGCTCCCCCCGGCCACCTTGCCTGTCCCGTCACTTGCTGGGCAGAGTTGGCACACACAGTTCCTGGGCACCCCTGTGGCTCTCCATGGGATCCAGGGAGATGCAGAATGCTTTCCACTTTGCAGAAAGCCATGGGTCCTTCCAGGGCACAAAACCCAGGAGGCCTGAGCACAGTGGCCGTGGTGCTGCCCCTCCTGTGCAGGGCTGGGCGGCACTGCGGGGTAGAGTCGCCGTCTTCATCCCCAGGCCCCGAGGGCCCCGGCAGTCTCCTGCTTTTCTGTTTGCTGTGTGGCCCAGCTGTCCACAGTGCCAGTCCTGCAACCCCTATGAAAGCATTAACCCTGGTCATAGCGAATCCTTGCCTCACACCGCTCCACAGTGTGCAGTCAGGCAATAAAATTATATTCTTTTTTTCCTAAAAGTTTATATAGTTTCAAGGGGTAAGATCTAGTAAGTGAAAATACCGGGAATGAAGGTAGCTAAAAAACCTTCAGCAAGCCTGGTGTGGTGACACACGCCTGTCATCCCAGCACTCTGGCAGGCTGAGGCAGGAGGATGGCAAGTTCAAGCCCCACCTGGGCGACTTAGTGACTTACGTGACCCTGTCCAAAAAGATGGGATGTAGCTCAGTGCATAGACCCCTGGTTCAATCCCAGCACCGCCAAAATAAAAAAAGAACTGTCCGCAACCAGGCAGTTACTCTTAGCCATCTTTTTGTCCCCTGATGGAGACCATCCCTCAGTACTAGAGGAAATGAAGGAAAAGGTGGGAATCCATCGTGCTTAGCACAAGGGCAGACATGCTGTCAGGTGAGCATCCGTGGACTCATGGTGGCTACGGTATAGGTGCAAGCAGCCTGCCTAGTTTCTTCTCGCCTCTTCCTACATTGTGGCCACCGAGACTGGCCACCGAGTGAGACAGGGCACCCAGGCAGGCAGGAGGAGCTGCCCATCCATCCGCCTTCCTTCCCACCCCCAGCCTTCAGGGAAACACGGATGCCGCCTCCTCTGAGAAGTTCTGCTTGGCATCTTTCTGTGCTTTGGAGGGGGAGCTTGGCTGAAATCTCAGGAATGCGGCTGTGAGTTTAGCCAGGTGACACTCGGGGCGGTGCCTGGTGCCCTCCCCTCCCCAGCTGCAGCGATAGCCCGTGCATCCATACCCGCAGCATCACCCGAGAGGAGTTGTCTAGAGCCGGCGCTCTTCTTTCTCAGCTTGCCCGTTGTAAAATTCCACCGCAGCCTCCTTTGAACTTCCTTGCCGCTGTTCGGCATCCCGAGGGTCGCTGTTCATCAGGGATCACTTCCTGTGTACGTCCTGTGTGCCTTCAGTAGCCAGCAAGCCCGCTTGTGGGTACCGTGGGTGGAACAAGAGGTTTGCACGTGCAGATGACTATTATATAAGCATCCCCTTCTGTAACTGGTGTGATACCCAGAGGTCGGTCTCGTTTGTTTCACTGGACTGTTGTATTATATTCATTCAGTATTTCGATGCTTTTCTTGGTCTGCGTTTTGTAAAACATTGCAAATTTCGGTATCCTTCAAAAGAATTCACACATACCGGTTTTAGCTTGAAATGATATCCAAGACCCCAACCCAGGAGCCAGCTGGTTCTGCAGGCTCACGGGCCGGCTCCCAGAAGCCGACTGGCTCCCCACACAGCCTGCATGTGGGGAGATCTCGACGGATTTGGTGGCTGACCCGCAAGAGTACCCAACACCCGTTACGTCGTCACTGTTAAAAATGCATTCCGGGTTTGGGGCTTGGGGTCCCCAGGACACTCTCTCCCCTCACCCCATGGTGACCACTTGCTGCTTTGCAAGGTGGAAGCCCAGTCTCTGTACTACCAAAGGACAGCCGTCAGGAGATGGAAGGTCCGAGACGAGATAGCACATTCCCTGACCTGGGGGGTGATTTTCTCTGGAGCCATGTCAACTGTACTTGGGTATAGACCTCCTTCCGGTTTTTTCTCCTCTCTCCCAATTTGATAATAAGAAAAGCCTTAAGTAAAACTATGCATGCTTTTCCTATGTGCTATTTTGTATCAGTAAATAAGCTTATGCTTGCCAGTTTCATACACAAGGGTGAGGTGTATAAAACTGACTTTGACAGTATTTTTTGCACTGTTTCCTGTCTGTTTTTATAAAGTCTTATTTCAGTACCAGTCTTAGTGGAAACCCTTCCTGTCCTCTTCGTTACTGTAAAATGTTTCATATGTGCCTTTAAAAATGTGAGATCTTTATTCTAACCTTTTTTTGTAAGAGATATATATTGATTTCCATACACAATAAACCTTTTGTTTTTCAGAGAAAACAGTAGCGTCTGACCTCTTCTGTAGCGTGTCTGTTTGCATTAACAGAACGCACCAACGTCCCTTACTCGGAGGATTCTTTTCACAGCTGGAGGTGCCAGGAAAGTCTGCTTTCTGGATTTTATAGCCCGCTTACCGCCACCCACTTTGTAGTCCTAAATAAAGCCCTTGTTCCGGGAACTAGAAAGGCATGGGGCCGGCGGATGGGTGAGAAGCTCAGAGAAATGGGTCTTTGTCCAAACACGGTGATAACTCACCGCGCTCCTGCCGTGGAAATGGCACCAGGCTGCTCTGGAAAGCCCGCGTGCTTGTGTTGTCGTTCACCTTTATAACAAGAGCTCAGCTCGCTCTAGGTTTAAAAGCTGCTGCTCCACCCTGCATTTTCAGCCCCTCAGCTGCTGTGGCATGCAGACAGTGAAGCCCTCTCAGTGAGGCAGACTCTTGCTTGCCTGTCTTTGATAAGGAGCAGAGCAACACCTTCCGCCGGTGATCCACCCCCACCTGTCCTGCCAGGGCCCAAGCACTGCACAGCTCCCAGGGCAGTTCACAGCACAGGGGACAATGTGGGCCCCCCCTGGGCAGCGAGGGGCTAGCAAACCTCACGAATCACAGACAGAGGCTGGGCGGCTCGGGCACGCTTATAACCCCAACACTTCAGGAGGCTGAGGCAGGAGGATTGCTGTGAGTTCAAGGCCAGCCTGAGCTACCTGTGAAACCCTGTCTCAAACAAACAAAAAAACTCCCACAGAAACAATTCTAGGTGGTACAGTGACTGTCAGCAAAAAACTTATATAACTCTTGAAAGAAAAGCTACTTCACGTTAAAGGTGATTGTAGACACAACGCACCAGTGAACGCAGAATGGTGGAACAGAACGGAAGAGAACAGACAGCACTGCTTCATTTACCTTCTGTGGACCGAGGAGCTGGACCCACTTGAACAGAGCAGAGTTCACAGCTGTAATTTAGAGGGGAGCAGTGACCACTAGGGGACCTGTTGGTCTCCAGACAGACAAGTAGCAGAGCTAGGGAAGAACAAATGTTAACATGGAGAAGAACCCCCAAAACTAAAGATACACACATGAAAACACACATGAAACAGAAACTGGAAACACGCATACACTAAAACACGATAAAAGGACACAGAAGCAGGACTGAGCTCATCTGTTTCGTGTGTGGTTCTTTTTTTTAGTGGGCGGGAATTGAACTCAGAACTTCGTGCTTGCCAAGCAGGTGCTGTGCTGCAGAGCTATGCCCCCTGCCCCAAGCTCATCTATCTTGGGTGATTTTAATTTTATTTACTTTAATTACAAAACAGACCTAACAGTTAAGAAACAGCAGGGAAAGAAAACTGGTTTGTTACAGCTACAGAAAACTCAGCCTCCAGGAGCTAGAGGGCTGTGTGGAGCTTGTACAACACTGACCAAGTTCTTGGTACAACTTGGACAGGTGGTTAAACTCACCACAGCCTCCTCTAGGAGCTCTTGAAACTTGAGGTTTGTTGTCTGAGGGAAATCCACGAAGACAACAATCCGGGCGTGGTGGGCAACACCCCTAATCCCATCATTCAGGAAGCTGAGGCAGCAGGATTGCTGAGGTGGAGGCCAACCTGGACTACACAGTTCAAAGCCGGCCTGAACTACATAGCGAGGCCCTGTCTCCAAAAAACCAAACAGAGAAAGCTCACGACAGCACTGTGGGTGGGACAGAGGTCAGGACAAGTCCAAAAATGTCTCAGGCTGTTTTGGAGAGAGAAATGTGGGAGAATTGTCAGCAAGTGTTCGGAACCCAGGGCAGGGTTAACTCTGGAAATTCTGCAGGGCCATAACATTTACTTCTGCTGGCAGCAGAATGGGCAGATCAGTGGGATAGACCAGTGCAGAAAGAACCACAGCAAGGGACCTTTCCGAGCCGGCAGGGGAGTGGAAGGCTCTGCACGTGGCGGGAGTGTTACGCGGCTAGCAGTTTTGAAAATCAACGTTAGAGCTGGACACCTTCATGAACAGGTCCAGATCAAAGATTTGAAGTTTTATTTCTTCATTTAAACACAAAAAAATACCTGCTTTTGCACCCCAGCTGTCCTAAAACATAATGGACAATCAGGACAACAAGTATTTTCAGTCATGATAAAGACCTCATACCTGCCCCCGGGATAGTCTGAGCTTCTAAACGGCAGAGGATGCAAACAAAGCGGAACAGGAAATGTCCACCGTGTACCCTAGAAAGACGCTCACGTTTGTTTCTGATCCCTGTGTGAAAGCCCTGGGTTCCGTCCCCAGGATGGAGCGGCCTGGAGCTGAGTTAATCACCAGTAGCCGGGGATGGAATCAATCGCAGGTAACAGAGCCAGCAGGAAAACCCCAGCCCTCACTATTGGGGCCTTATGAAGTTGGTGGATGGGTCGTGCGTACATGGACAGGGCCCCCGTTCCACACGGCTGGGGTCCAAGGGGTTGGAAACTGATTAGTGTATGAAAAACCTCCCCACACTGGGTGTCAGAAGTACAAATAAAACACTTCAGCCGTGGATGTCAACTCAGACATAATCTTCACCCAGGTGTAACAATGCACAGCTGTAATCCCAGCACTTGGGAGGCTGAGGCAGGAGGGCCACTGCAAGTTCAAGGCCAGCCGGGGCTACACAGTGAGTTCAAAGCCAGCCTGAACTGCACAGTGAGACCCTCTCGCTCTCCAAATAAATATTTAAGAATTATCAGTCTGTGTCAAAGTGCCCAGCCTAAAGCACACGAAATAGAATACCTCACGTTAGATTAGCCATTTTAAAAAATGATGATACAGTATTAGGAGGGAGAAAAATGACTTATATTCGGTTGGTACCTGATACTGGGTGGTGGTTCTTTTTTAAAGGAAATGCCATATATAGTCAAGGTTTTAGAAGGTGTTTTGTTTGATCCTGAAAGTGCGTTTCTAAGAATCTACCCCCGGACGCTACTTCAGAGCTCTGGGTTTCAGGTTGGTCTCCCCTGCGGCATGGCCTGTAAGAGCTCCAGGGAGGGAAACCCCGTGTCCACATGTAACGTGCAAAGCGCGATTTCTGCACCCACCGCGATATTCTTCCCCGGCGAGAACGTCCCCCTCGTTAAGGCAGGGCGGACATGAACCGCTGTGGAGGAAACGGAGCCCACGGAGACTGCGGAGGGGCCTCACCTCCAGGGGCGCTGGCGAGGAAGCAAGAGCAGCTCGCGTTCCTCATTCACGTTTGCGTTCTTTGAATTTATTGAGAAAGTCTGACTTTTGCCCGCCATCCACACCCTATCAAGACGTCACCTAAGGGTCTTTGAGACGCAGCCACAGCACCTGCAGTAAATGAGCACCCTTGAAGCGCAGTGACCCCGCAGCCTCACCGTTCTCCCTGCACCGGGAGGCACGGCTCTGCATGCAGTAGGTGCTCGGTAAAGGCCTCGAGGGTGCACTAAGCCCCCCTGCACACAGCTGGTGGGGGCTTGTGCGAGGTGAGGGGTAGCCCCAGATCCCGGGCATTGGCCCTGGAGGAGCCTGGCAGGCGCGGGAGGCCCGGCTCCTCCGGCTGCAAACGCACAGCCCGTCCCAGCTTGGCCCCGGAGGCTGGGCTGCAGGAGCCGCCTTCCCGCGGGCCATGCGGGTGAGCGCCCTTATGCTCATAACACACGGGGGGCTGGGGATTTAGCGCAGCGGCACAGCGCCTGCCCCGCAAGCGCAAGGTCGTGAGTTCGATTCTCGGTACCGGAAAAAAGGAAAAAGTGGGGGGAAAAAAAAAATGATACAACACATGGTTGGGAAGGGAAAAAAATGTTTCTCCCGTCTCTGAAAAAGCAGAGCGCTGCACAGAACCATGCGACGAGAGCTGGAATGTCTGCTCTCACAGCCCGGAAGAAGGTCCCCACCCTAGCCGCCGCCCTCCTCCGCTTCCTTCCCCGAGAGCAGGCAGTCATCCCCCACCACCAAGAAGCCACTTGGTGCAAGCAACGCATCGCCTTTATTCTCTGCCGTCATTCAAGTTTGCCAGGCACATTACAGGAGGCAGGAAGGGAAACGTGACTGCAGCTGTGAAGCGCCGTCGGGCCGCGCCAGGGTGAGGTGTGAACCATGCCGTGACGTCGCGGGAGAAGGAAAGCGTCCGAGATGCATCTGACACTCAGCTGAGCCGCAAGCGCACGCGGCAGGTGGCAGGTCGCAGGGCCGGGGGTCCCCAACGTGGCTCCGCCCCAGCCGGCCCGAGGGCGGCGCGAGATTTGAACACGTGAATCCCCGACAGTTCCTGATGGAAACCGGCGAGCCGCGCAACGTCAGCGGCTTTCGATCTCCCGTTTGATCTCGGAGATGTAGGGATGATCCTTGCCGTGAGCGACCTCCATGATGGCCAGGGCCTAGGAGACAGAGACGGTGAGCGCCAGCCGCCCGCCGCCCGGGTCTGGACTCTGCAGCTCTCCGCGCCCTCACCCTCGTCCCCAGGCTGGCTTGTGACACAAAAAGCAAGGAACCAACGGAGCATCCAAGACCTATGGCTGAGCAAGACATTCCGCAAAGGTATCCGGGCACTGCCAGCTCGAGGAAAGCCGCAGAGAAACGGCCTTGCTTGCCCCAGTGTTCTCCATGTTTCTACACCAACGCACTTTCCAATTGGGACCCAGCGGGCTTATCTCCCGCCGTCTCACCGAGGCCAGACAGGCGCTGCCTTAGATGATAAAGTCCACAGCCCGGACAGAAATGTTACACGAAACCCACACTGCCATCCTCCCTGGGCCTGGCCCTCCAGTCTGAAATGTGGGGTGCCCCATTGCCCCGCGGGGTCCCCTGCAGGGTTGGGGAGCAAAGAGCGCCCGGCCTCTGAGCCTCACTGGGGATTGGAATATGTATAGGAGAGAGAACCTGTCCCTGATCTTCGCTGTATGGACGTCCACCCACCGAGCTGCGGGAACAACGCCCGGCTGCCGCTGCAAGTTCCTGCTAGGTGCGAGGGTCAGACTGGGCCTACCAGCGGCCACCAAACCTGCAGCTCAGAAAGAGCCCCCTTTATTGCAATATGGGGGCTCCCTCATGCCAGGCAAGTGCTATACGAGTGAGCTACCCCTCCAGCCCCTTTTATTTTTCTATTTTGAGACATGGTGTCACTGAGTCACCTAGGATGGCATGAAGCTTGTGACCCTCCTGCTTCGGCCTCCTGAGTAGGCAGGATTACAGGAGCTAAGCGTGTTGCCTGGCAGGACCCCTAGCTGAATGAATTTGAAGGAAAGCTCAGCCACATACCCCAGGATCCCTTTTTTTGAGACAGGGTCTTGCTATGTAGCTCAGGCTGGCCTCCAACTCACAGAGATCCTCCTGCCCCAGCCTCCCAGCCCAGCCAACAGCCTGCCCAACTTCCCTGTGTGGTGGTGCTGGCCATGGCAGGGCCTGCGATCACAGCTGCCCTTCTGCTGCAGGCACCCTTTCCGTTCCCGAGGCAGACCGGACGCAGGCCCAGCTCCATGCACCCCACGCCCGACACGCACCTTCTTCAGGGCTTTCTCGCCGGCAGCTCTGTTCTCCAGGCCCAGATGCAGGCGGCCAAGCTTCAGCCACACGGAGGCCACGTTGAGCGAGTACAGAGGGTAGTGCCGGCTGCAGAGAGACGGCAGGCGCCCGTCAGGGCGGCGGGGACCCACCCGCCAGGCTGGGGCCGAGCCTGGAGGGCTCCTCAGGGATGCCACCCGGGCAGCTTCTGCGTTTTGGAAAAGCCACATCAAAACGGCTGGAGGAATCCTGCACAGGAATGTCTGTGAACACCGGATCCTAAGCCAGACCTGTCTATCTTAGGTGTGCGCATGGCAAAGCCAGGAGAAACGGTCTTTCGTCTCCTGAGGACCGAGACCGGGGTCCTCACCTGAGCTACATCTCCAGCACCCCCTTCCCTTTAAATTTTTTTTTGGAGGTAGGTTCGCACGAAGGCCCCCCGAGTGGGATCAAACTTGCAGTCCTTCTGCCTCAGCCTCCCAGACGGTACTGCTTGGGAAAGCATCTTTAAAAGTAAGCGAGCCGTCAATGAGAAGGGTGATATAAACCGCCTAGCCAAGGAGCATCGCTGGTCCGGGGCCGCTCGGCTCTTCCGGGCTCTTCCCCGGCTGTCCAGCAAGGGCTGGCCGAGGCAGGCGCTGTCGGGTGTGGCCCGATGGCAGCGCTGGTGGTAAAGCTGTTTATGCCCAGGCGGGCCCTAGCCATGTGCACGCCGAGCTCCTGCAGGAAGCCGGGGACCCGGAGCCGAAGGCAGGAGCGAGGGAGGGCAGCTGCGGTGGGCTCCAAACCAAGTTTTCCGGAGCGGAGGTGGAGAGCCGGCCTCCCTCGGGCTCCCCCTGCTGGCTGCCTGAGGCACAGCAGGTAGGTAGGGCTGAATTGGTCGCGGAAATTCAGACCGGACACTTGAGGGGTGCTGAGGGCCTCCCCTGCTCATGAGGAACACTCTGTGCTTCTAAAACACAAGGGCTTCCGGCTCTCGGGCCCGGGTATTGCAACCCACCCGGTCTTGGGCAGACCCTGTAAATGCGCGGTGTCCAGGGGTCTGGGCTCCCTCGGTCCCCGCGTTGAAGCGTCCTACCAGACCCAGATGTCCAAGCCACGACTTCCTCTGCCGTCCACTTCCTGTTTAATAACCGGGGACAGGACTGGTCCCTGGGCTAAGTGATTACTGTCACAATTTACAACTCAAATAGTTCCATTCAAAGGGTGGGGAGGGCATCAAATAACCACAGCCAACCCCTGTGCTTTGCATGCGTGTGGCCCTGCACCCCGCCCCCCCCCCGGCCCCGCACCAAAAGCAGGAGCTTTGTTATGGTGGTCACAGCTCCTTCAAATACCCTCCACCTAGCTGGGAGGCTCAGGCAGGAGGATCACAAGTTAGAGCCCAGCACGGGCAACTTAGCGACTCAGTGAGGCCTTTTTGGACCCCTTGGGTGTCACCACATATACTGAAAGCCAGGACTGCAGTCTGAGAAAAGCAAAAGCACGGGGTGGTGGGAATGGCGCTGGAAAACCTGTTTTTGCGTCTGCCACTTACCGACTCCTAAGTGAGATCGACTTAGAAGGGGCGGTGGGCGGGTGGCTTCTTAGCAGCGGCCCCAATTCAGCACGGCCCGCAGCCGCCCTGCACACCCTCACTCTGACTCCCTAGAGGGCTCCCCCGCGGGTGGAGGAAGCAGACCCGGCTCGGGGGAGCAGTGCCTCACACCCGCCCCTCGCATGCAGACTGGAGAGGCAGCCACTGTCCCAGCGAGCTGCGACACGGCCGGGAGCTGCCACCTCCCGCTGCCGCAGGGCCAGCGCGTGGCAGTCACCTGTAGGGCTTGATGATCTTCTGCCCGTACCTCAGGGCGCCCTCCCAGTCCTGCAGGTACAGGCAGACGCCCATGGCCTGATACATCATGTGCAGCATGTACACGTTGCTGTCCTCGAACACCGAGCTCATCTTCTCCTGGCTCAGCTCGCAGATCTCCAGCAGCTCGCTAGGGGGTGCTGCGGAGTCAAGGAAACCACCGGCGGGGCCACCCTGGGGGAGCTGGACTGTCCCCCACCCATTCCTGATGCCCCTCAAAGAAGCCCGGCACAGGTGGCAAAGCGAAGGTGAAAGGTGGTAACTTCCTAGAAGAAACCAGGGCAAAAGATCTCCCCTGTCACACAAGACCAAAGACCCAGCCCCGCGGTTTGGACGGAACAGCACTGCTGAGGACCCCAAGTCCTCAGACTTCCAGGTAAGTCCAACCCTTCCCCCTAACCAGACCTTCACCACCTCCGCTGGGACCTTTTTCTTTTCTCTTTTTCGCTAGCACTGGGGGATGAACCGCTGAGCACACACGAGAACAGGACCAGACGCAAGAACAGAGGGCTCCCTGGACCTTGTCAGCCTCATCAGACCCCTGAGATACGGAGAGCAGAGAGCAGACCCTAGGCGGCCACCAGAGCGGGCCCCGCACAGCTTCCTTCCACATCGAGGCCGACCCACGGGCGTCCGCGCCCCGCGGCGGCGAGGTGAGGATATACTTGTAGTGCTTGGCTCTCCGGAACTCCTCGATGACGTTGCGAGCGTACCGGACCATGTCCCGGATGGCTTCGGCCTGCGGAGGGTCGCTGAGCTTGCGGATTTCCACCTTGGCCTTATCCTGAGGGAAATGCCCACAATGCAAAGCGTCAGCTGCCCCAGCAACGCTGCGGACAGAGCATCTTCCGGGCAAAGGCCGAGGCGGAGGAGAGCGCAAGGAATCAGGCAAGGGACCTAAGGCAGTCGGACGCTCCACGGCCTTCCAGACACAGCAGCACTGACTTTGCAGCGTGCGTCGCAAGCCGAGTCAGGGTAACGGGTGGGCCTGCCGGGGTGATGCCAGGGGAAGCCCACAGCTGCTGGGGAAGGCTGGGTGCTGCGGGTGTCCGACCGCGGGCCGGAAGGCCAGGGACCTGGCGGGCGATCGGAGCGGGCAGGCCGCGGCCGTCGCAGGGCTCACCTTGTCCCTGGTGGTGCACTCCCGGCACTCGCAGGTGAAGAAGTAGGAATCTCTCAGCCGGTCGTTCCTGTCTTCCGTCGGGTAGAGGAGGTCGATGTAGCTGGTGAACACCTGAAGCCCGAAAAGGTGACGCCTTGGTCCACTACAGGGAAACCGACCCTGGCCACCCTGGCGGCTCTGCAAACACCTGGGGTGGCCCCGCAGGGCAGAGCACAGCGCAGGAGGCCGCGGCAGGGGGACACGCACGCCCGCTCTGACAGCCAGCGGCCCTGTGGGGGTGGGGGATGCAGGCTCGGGTCCCTAACCCGCGGGGTGGGCAGTGAGGTCCCTGGCTCCTTCCTCTGCAGAGAGCGGCTGGATTTCTCCTCCTCTCGGCAAAGGTTCCACTGGACACAGACGACACCGGCCTCTGAGGCCCAGGGAGGGGGACAGCGTCATCTTGGGGGGCCATCCATTCTCCTGCCCCTGCTCTTCTGAGCCCATGGAGAAGGGTGGCGGTCAGTGTTCGCTGCACTCACGCACACGTCTGCTCAAACTGGCGGACTTTACACGGCCACCCGCATGCCAGGACCTCGGGCACTGCCATGCTCTCCTGGACCCCAAGGGCAGAGGGCAAGCCGCGCCCAGAGCACTGACCAAGGCTGAGCAGCCAGCTTCCGGTGTCACAGGACTTCCTCCAAGTGACTGAGGGACGCAGTGCAATGAACACAAGCGTCCACAAGATGGCGACAAAGGCCAGTCCAGCGTCCCCCACGTGGCTCAAAGGAGCCTAAGACACCAGGGAGGCTGGCCTCTCTTGCCACCCCCAGGAGCGGGGGCGGATGATTTTATTCCAGCTGACTGCGACTATCTGTTCCAACAAAGAGCATCTGGTGACAGTGGGAAGCCCATAAGGCCCTGGGAGACGAAGACAGCCTGCCCCAGGGACACCCTCCTCACGGTGGCCCTAGCAGGCGTGGAAAGGTCGACCTGAACATCAGACTTTAGGTCACAGTTGACCGGGGACCAGTTAACACCTTCCAGAGAAATCACTTAAAGGTTCGATCACGAGGTCACAGCAGATAAAGGAAGGAGAGAGAGTGGCACCCGGAGGCACTGCAGCCCTCGGTGAGGGAGAGAGTGGGGTGCCCCCTGCCCGTACACTGCCTCTACTTGCCCTCTCACGGCGCACAAATGGCGCTGAGGTGACCTCTGAAAAGGACGTGAAATGCGCCTGTGACGCCCGGAGTGGACCTGCAGCTAGTGGGGGCGGCCTGATTCGGCAGCACTGCTTTGGAGGTTTGGGTTGGGGGTCCAGAGACTGACAACGGGACACAGGCTCTCGGGGGAATGGCTGTGTCCGTCTGGTCTTCAGGCAGCCAGCCTCCTTTCTCTTGAAATCTCTGCTGCGAGAGAAACTCAAATCTACACCTTCCTGCAGCTTCTTGACCCAAGGAGGAGCCGGCAGAAGCCCCAGCGTGGGCCGCTGAGCCCGGGTCGCTCATCTGATCTCTGAGCCCTGCAAGGCCTGGTACAGCTACAGCTGAGCTCGGGACACGCTCGCATAGGTGCTGCCCACTGAGGCTGCCACAGCCCAGGCGGGTCCTCACTCACCTCTTCCCCGGGGTGGATCTCCTGTACCGCCCGCACTTCCGCCAGCGTCCCCTTGTAGGTCACAATGACATTGGGGCAACAGCTATGATTCATCAGTGCCACGCTGTGGGACAGAGGAGAAAACCCAGTTCCCTCCAGGGCACGCACAGACCGCAGGTGACCGTTTAGCTCCCTGTTGACTGAATTAGACGAACTGAATCTTTGGAAACCAACCAAAAAATATCTATGTATCTATATATCTCACCAGCTCTGACTATTCTGCACTGGTTCTGTTATGCATTTGTAATAATGTCTAACACCTTAAACTTTAACTGTGTTAAAAAGCGAAATCCACAATTCAAAGCAGTGATATCGAAGCAGAGAACAAAAGACATCAATACAAACAAGAGATGCTAGAGCTATTCCTCCCAGTACCTGCACCTCTGACTCCTCTGCACAACCGTGAGGACAAATGGTCGTCCTCTGTGGGCCGCTTTTGTCTAAGTGGATCATTTCTTGGGTGCCTTCCTCAGATGTGGAGAAACGCCAGCTGCTAAGTGTGCGAGGGCCTGTGATCCCCCAGGGCCCCGAGAAGCCCATTTGAGTCTCTCTGCACCTCAATTTCCTCATCTGGAAAATTGGGACATTTCTGCTCCTGCTGCTCACTGTCTGCTTTTCGGGGACAGCAAGGAGACAGAGATTCGCCTGTGAGGGGCTTTGAGGTTTCTGATTATATAAAGGTCAAAGTTCTGAGAACAGAAATTTCTAAACTACAGGGAGAACGTGCTTGATCTCTGAGAATGCGGCCTTTGAAATCACAATGCCAATATGATTTCAGCCCAAGGGGATTTTTCCCCCAATTAAAAATGCCTGGAAACTGGGGCTCGGGCTCCTGAGGGCACGCACACCCGCCTGTCCCTGCTCTGAGGGCCAGCGCCACCTCGTGGCCCTTTGGGGACTGAACCCCTCTCCGGCTCACCCCAAGAATACGCAAAAGAAAAGGGGCTGCGATAACGGGGAGGACGCCTCACCGTGCTGGAGGGGCCCCGACAACCTGGCAGCCATCCCCAGGTGGGGGTGCGGTCTGCGGGGAGGACGCTCCCACATGCCGCAGACAGGAGATCAGAACCAGGGACTCTGACTAACGGACTGGAAGGGCCTGTCGTAAGGAGAGGCAGATTGCTCCAAGTCTGGCAGAGGGGCACTAATTCTTCGTCCTGATAGACTCCCGGCTAAAATGGGAGGGAAAGGCTCAGGCTGCAGCCAGGCACAGGCACCTAAGCCAGCTCTCACCCATGGGGTGGTGGGGTCCCCCAGCAATGGTGGCTACAAACTCCACTACTCCCACACTTTCTATAGGTGCTGAGAGCAGAGACGCCTTGAAGTGCACTTCACACCCGAGTTGTCTACACGGCCTTCGCTGCAGGGACCATGCACCTTCTCTTCTCTGCCCTCTGCCGAGAGCTGCAGTCTGAGGGAACTCTCCCAGCATGCTTTTCGGGGACACAGCCTCATATGCAGACTCAGTGCTGGCACCAGTCTGGCCTCAGGGGCATTAATGAGAACAAACTTGCCCTCTGCTTCTGGAAAGCCCATGAGGCTGCTTCCGACCCATGGAATGGGGCAGATTTTCCTCCTTCTGACCTGCAGAATGCACACAGCCTGGCAGTACACACACACACACACACACACACACACACACACACACACATGTTAGAGGTCTCCTGCGCTGGCCTCCACAGAACCCCAGCAGCCTTGAAGCACGGGCGTCCCCTTCCTGTGCATTAACCAAGGCTGGGGACACGGGAGTCCGGGAAATACACCATTCTGGAAACACCCATCCCTCTGGAGACCAGGGCTGGGGAGCCACTAACGTCAGAGCTGGTAGAACAAAACCCAGTCTCAGCGCTGCACCTTAACTTGCAGGCGTCTCTCTGGTCCAGTGCAAATAACCTTTATGTAGTGAAAAAACTGTAAACGCTGTTCAGTTCTGTGTCTCACCCAGCAGTCTTGTTCTCTTAAAAATAATCCCCTCACTCCACAAACGCTCTGTGAAGCGCACAAAAACCCTCCATTCCGCAACTGTATTTTGGTAGCTTTTTGCACATTTTCTGAATGTTCCTAAAGTAGAGAGAAAAATAGGACGGGTCTTTCAAATGTCTCCCTACCTCGCTGCTTTAGCATAGTCTCCCAGGAAACTGTGCTGTTTTTATATTGATATTTAAAAAAAAAAAAAAAGACAAACTGACGTATTCTCTACAAAGGCTATGGCTTTCTTGGTTAGTGATTAATGCTCCGTTGGCATAAGCAACCCTAAGATTTCCAGAACTACACACATGCAGAAAGCAAATTCCACAGCAGGGCACGGGCTGCTCCTTCTGCGCATGCTATAAAATATTCTTTAATAACAGCTCTCCGCCTAGCAGGACTTAACAAGCAACTCTTCTCTTAACTACTACCTTTGGATCTTAAATGTAGGGGAAATATTTTGAAATGTGGCAGATTAAAAAGCTGTCTTAATTCACTTGGAGTTTCATGCCTGCCACATGCCGTTAGGTGGGTTATATAAAAATCCAAAAAAAAAAAAAAATCAAATTAGTGTTAAATAAGTACAAAGGAAAAGAAACGAAGTCAAACTCAACCTACTCAGGAAATATCGCTGATCCCAAATGGGAAAGTTCTTCATCTTCAATGGTGAAGCCATTACAGTTAACCTGCAGGGATCGGAGAGAGGGAGAGAGAGAGAGAAAGGCTTCAGCGCCCCTCTGGGGAGAGATCATTTCTTTAATTGTGACCTTTGACAAGTTACCTAGGAAGATGCCCCAGTTTGGTGGCTTCAAAACCTTTTCTTTTGGCCTCAATGTCCTTTGTTCAAACAAAATTTCCTCATCAGCCCAGCCGAAGGCTGAAGCCCCTCCTTGTGCAGCCCCCGCACACAGACCTGAGGACTCGCAGGTCCCCCGAGGCTCTGAGGACTGGGGGGTGCACATCTGAGCGGGGCCCAGCAGGCCACGGGTCGGGTACCTGGGGTCTAACCCCCATCACACCGCAGCTCCCTGTGTGACAGGAGCCCATCGCCGGGTCATGTGCCCTTGACAAAGCAGCTGCTGAATCCCACGCTCGTCTCAGAGGTGAGGTCGGCAACTCAGAAAGCCCTCATTTATCTCATCTAATTGCTGTCCCTCTCTTGAGGGGCCGAGGGACCAAGGGCCCGAGCTGAGGAGCTGGGGTCTTTCGTGCTTCAGCCACTCTCTCGTCCTTTGGAAGAAATGCTGCATTAGGAAACGCCAGGGCGACGGTCACCTTCTGGGGGTGGGAGCTGGAGGGAGTGGGCTGAATACGAGGAGGATCCTTGCCAGGTTCCACATTCTAATGCTTTCTTTCACAGGCCACTGCGCCCAGCGAGGGACATCTCCCGGGAGACACTGCAGGTAACAGCACACAGCTGAGGTCCCTGCTCCCTCTCACACCTGAGATACCACACCTGGCATCCGATGGGCCTTGGGAAACAAGCATCTGATCAGCACTTACCGGGAGCCAGGCCTTGGCCTGATGTTGCCACTAACAAGCTCATCAATGCACAATGGCCCCCAGCTTTACTGTAACTGCCCATCCTACAGCTGGGAAAAATGAGGCCAAGGGGATTAAGTGGCCTGCACAAGGACATGTGAAAACAGTGACTGCTGAACAGGAGTCAGAATCCCCATGGGCCTTCTGACAGCAAACCCTGGCTTCTTCACACAGAGCCTTGTTTCTTCTAAAAAGCAGTTGTGTCTACTAAATGTTAATGGGGCAATTTTACATAAAGGACTTTGGCAAGGGCTGCAGAACCTTGGGATCCACTAAACTAGGAGCTACAGAAGATTTTATGCATACTGTTTACAATGGGAGGCTAGTACAACAATACCCAGCCTTTGAAATCCCCAAGGGCTGGGTATTTCTAAGAAGACTTAGCAAACTAATTTTTGTGCCAACTCCAAGTACCCTGACCATTTCTGTCACTGGGACATTAACCAATGGCCACCAGCCAACATTAGGTGGGAGTAAATTCGGATTTTCATTCATTCAACGAAACTGATGATGGTATGACTTGTGTGTCCTCACCTTAGTGGCCAGGTACCAAATGACCCATACACACTCTCACACTTGACACCAACATGCCTTAGCAGTCTCTGGCTCCCCCAAGTGTTTGGAGAATGAATGAATGAATGAATGAATGAATGAGTGAATTACCAAAAGGAACTAGGACAGACAGACTGCCTTGGGTGCCGGATTCTTGCTCTTGGCCTCTGAGACGCCCTTCTCTGTGGGAGCCCCCCAGGCCCAACCCTGATTCTGGAATGCTTCAGGCTTGAGCTTGCTCCAACCTGCAGCCCCTCCACGGCCTCCCTCACAAGCAAAGGCTGCTGTAAGCACTGTTCCCTTCCGGCCTGCTTGCCCTCCCTTCTGAGCTCTCCCTGGAGAAGAAAAGCAAACCTGCACATTAAGGAAGATGCGTGGGCCACAGTTATTTTTTTTTCTTTCAAGACAAATCAGGCGTGAGAGCTTTGTGGAAGCTCTTCTCATAAGCAGCATTTAGACTAGATGGAGGCTGCACGGCAAAAATAACTCCCCCACCACGCTCGAACTTGGTAATCAGAACACACCTCAGCACTGTGGCTGGAGCACAGTGACCTTTGGCTGCCAGCTACTGCTCGTGGCCATGGCCTCTGTGGACCAGGAAGGCAGGAAGGTCTCGGGCTGAGAGGCCAGCCCAGGGCAACAGTGGACGGAGCCCACTCTTCCTCTGCTTGGAATACTGAATCCCCTTTTCAAATTTACTTTAAAATGTGATGTGTGGGTGAGTGGGTGTCCGTACACAATCTTGGAATGTTCTCTGTGATGTGATAAGTCTCAAGTCTATAAGGGAATGGACTGTCTATAGCTTGAGTATTTTTCTCTTAGGCACAAAAATGAGCCAGATTTTCCAAGTGAGTCCAAACTTCAAAGCCTGACTCGCTTTCACCACAAATACACTCGCACTTGTGTGATCTGTGTCTTGAATGTTGTTGTGAAAACAGTTCCCCCTCACCACATTGCCGTGGAAAAGTCCTGTCAGTGTCTCTTACCATGGAGAGGGAAGGTATCACTTTTCATACTTGAAGAAATGGTACTCTTGCCCTGTGTGATGCTGCACACCTGTAATCCCAGCCACTTTTGAGGCTGAGGCAGGAGGATCACAAGTTCCACACCAGGCTGAGGAACTCAGCAAAACCTTGTCTCAAAAAAACACAAAAAGGGCTGAGAATGTAGTTCAATGGTAGAGTGACTGTCTAGCATGCACAGGGCCCTGAGTTCAGTCCCCAGCAAAGAAGAAAAAGAGGGGAAAGGAAGCAGGGATGAGGCAGAAGAAGAAGAGGAAGTGGAGGAGGAAGAGAAGAGGAGAGAAAAGAAGAAAAAAAATTTCACTGGTCATGTCTCAACTAGAAAAAATAAATCATGGACTCAGTTTCTCAAAAAAAAAAAATTAAAAGAATTAATTCTTTAGCTTTGTTGCGTTGCCCAAATTTATAAATCCAGGACAACATGAAAACCAGAAAGGTTTTTTGTGACCTCTGCCTTGGGCCCATTGCCCTTCTGTAAGGAAGAGCAGCTTCCCGACTACAGCACTCACACCGTTCAAGTGCGTCCACACGAGCACGAACACTATGACAGGACTCACTCAGCTGTCACCGGGGGTCCTCTAGGACTATGTGTGTACACTTTTTCTCTGTGTGTGTAATTCTTAAAATGTGCTTTTCTACCTGTTTCTTCTGGTATTTTTAAAAACTTATACATTGTTCCTGGTAGAAAGTCAAAAAAAAAAAAAAAAAAAAAAAAGTCACACAGTGAAAGCAGCGTGTTCCACAGTTTAGAAGAAGCCAACCGTGAAGGCTCACGCCGCCTTTCAGGGCAGATGTTTCCGTGGTGTGCACAGTCTTCGTCCTGGTTTTACACCTGCTCATCCTGTCCCAGCCTCCGCAGGCAGCCTCCCAAAGTGAAGGCCACGGAACCTTCCGTCACACGGCTCTGCTATAACTTACTTAAACGCCCAGCGCTGGCCCTTTACAATATGTTGTTTCTCCCCGCTTGCCTCCTCCCTGCTTCCTTCTCTTCTCTTTTAAAAGAACCCTAAAATAAACAAGCATATGAATCTCCATCCCTGATCTCTGAGTCTTTCCTGAGGACCCGTTCCTGGAAACGGAATCAGTGGCTCAGAGGATATGTAAGTGCTGCATATTCTGTCCTTGCCCGAAACGTGCAAGGCTGTTTAGTGCGTCTGACACAGACAGTTCCAGCAGGGCAGGCCGCTACTGACGCCCAGGGACCGGACTATGGTGCTCACTTTCGGGGAAAGTCACATTCACCAGCAAGGAGCAGAAAACGCCTGGAGAGAAACCCAAGCCCAGCTAGCGGGGCACAAGGCCCTACTCAGCGCCCCAGCCTCAGCCTCCCGACGGCCCGCGGTCCAGTCTGCTCATCACTTCCGAGTTGCTCTTCTCTCCAAGCACCTCTGAGTGTTCACTCTATCTGATTTTGGAAAACCTTAGCCTCTCTGAGAACACCCTGGGGCCCCTGCACCCTGCAGGCTCCTGTCTGTACCCCGCAGGCTTCAGAGGGGACCTCTTTCTGGGGAGCTTGACAGAGGCTTATTTTCTGTTAGAGCAGGCTTCAGAGCAGAGCAGCTAAGACCACAAACAGAGTCCTGGAGTGGCCTTTTCTCTGCGAAGAGCTCAACGTGCTCCAGGGCGCGGGACTGAGACCCGGCTGCATGAGTGCTCTGCATTTCCTTCCCGACAGCCCCCGAAACAGTACTCGGAGGACCTGATCTGCCCGGGTCGCCAGCAAGGCTGGGGCCACACAGGGCACAGAGGGTTCAGGGCCCGCAGCTGGGTGGGCCCAATCCCACCTGCTTCACTGACAGGTGCGGGGAAAGGTGGGCGCTGTCACCACGCCTGGGACACGGCGCTCGGCTCACCTGTGCGAAGAGGACCACCAGGCTGTCGTGGTCGGGGAACTCGAGGTGCTTGGAGTAGAACTGGTGCAACGTGGCGATGTCGCTCTGAATCAAATCCTTCTTCTCGTTGTCCAGCTTGTCCAGATCTGCGGACACACGGGCACAGCTCACGCTGGGAAGCCCCGTCGCCAGCCCTGCCCTTTCCTTACGGTAAGTGGCACGGAGTACGGGAAGGGAGCGGCCACGCCCACCCTAGAGAACATTTTCCCCACTGCTCGGTCTAATGGTCAAACCCAGGGGAAGCAAGCCTGCAGTTTCCTCTGTGCTCCCTCTACCCACCAGAGGTCACCGGGCCCTGACACGGAGGGCGGCAAGGAGGGGTGAGGACTGATCTGCTCAAGGGCCCCAGTGGGCCTTGGGATCTGTGTCAGTCAAGCGACCAGGCGGCCTGATTTAGCGCCTTTTGTAAGAACATCAGCTGTTTCCAGAACTGCAGTTCAGCAAAGATCCAGAAATATTCAGCGTGCTCAGACACTCTACAGCCCACCTCTAGAATGCACCTCTGCTCCCCTTAAGTACCCCCTCATAAACACGTCAACTCAGGGGGAACTTCAAAACATTTTTCAAAACAGCGCACCAATCAAAATAAAGCTAATAATTAAAAAAAAAAAAATCACCATCCTTATGAAGAAAATGGAGCGCTCCTTCCTTTCCTCCATCCTAGCTCATCCACATTAAATGTGTGGCTAAAGCAACTTCCCGGCCCGTCACACAAAGACTTACGTGATTCAAATTCCTTCACAGCTAACAATCTCTCGGAAGGTGTTCTCTCTGGGTGGATTTTCTAGTAATTGGGGAAGAAGTCACACAGACAAGAGATGTTAACAGCCAGTGTAGAAAGTAGTGCTTTCACTTTAACCTCAATGTGAAGAAAAAGCAACGACTTTCAAGGAAGTAAAGGCAGCTACCCAAGGAGCGCACGTCTCAGGCCCAATGTCCACATCCAAAAGGCTCTTTTCAAAGCTTTGTGAAGAGTCCACTGGATTTCTGACACCCCGAGACTGCCACGCACACAGTAGGCTCAGAAAAGCTTGTTACTGGAGAGAACCGCACCAGAAAACAACTTTTTAGGGTCCTTACTTAAAAGGACTGGGTCTACAGATGAACCATCCTATTTATTATTTCTCCTTCTAAAAAGGAACAAAATCCAACCCCCATCCATTTTACACTTTCTTTAAGCATAGGCTAAAATGATCTCAAATTCTGTGTTTCAAAAAGAACACTTTCGGTTGTATCTGTGAGCTCAGATGCACTTGAAACATGTCGCTGGCTTTGTTCTAGACACCCCGAGAGGCGCTAACAATAGTAAACCCGCCAGGCTTTGAGAACATGAATAAACTTGGTGTTGACAAGAGTTCAAACGCAGAGCTCCGGAGCTGCCCGAGGCCCCGGCTTTGTAATCTGGCTATTCAATTTGGGGATACAGGTGGCCTCACTGGGCGCGCTCACCTCCCTAGTTAACATGTTAAGCTTCCCCTTGGTAGTTTGGTAGCCTGTCTCCCCTAATCCTTTGCAAGCTACTGGAATACAAATGGTCTGGTTTTTTAATCATCGAGTCCTACAGAGATGAAAGGACGGCCAGGTAACTTTTCATTGCATAGGCTATTAGCAGTAGTAGTAATTATAATAAAGCTTGAATGAGACGAGCGTAAACTCCTAGCAGCATTCAAGCCTCCCCTCCCGCTGTCAGAACATTTCAGCGGTTCTTTCTGGGAGTAGCAATCTTCCATTCACAGGATGCGCTTCGGTTAAGATTAGCAAGACCTCTTGCCTAGGAAAGCGACCGGTTCAGGAAGTACTCAGCCTCTTCTGGGAGCCGAACACCACATCACAAGTACCACCGATGAGAAAGGGGACAGGAGAGACCCAGAAGGCAGGTCTCCTCGGCCACAGACACCATGGCTTTGCCACCCTGACACCTTGTCACCACGCCCAGTCACACTGATTCCATAGCCTTTTCCTCCGCCGGCTGCTCTGTATAAACAGGGAGATAATTTCCTAAGGATGCAACTTAGCCTCGCACAAGGAAAAACAGCTCAGGTTTTTGGGGCTCACTACACAGATACCCTCAAATGGCTGTCACTGTCCTGAGCTGCCATCCAGGTCTTCCTGCAGCACCTGATCCAACCCGAGCCCAGGAGACTGAAGAGTGCAGAGATGTTCTCTTCTCTGCAGGCCTCCAGCATCGTCACTTGGTGTATAGACACCTGTTGTTCCTTACAATCACATTTGCTTAGACTTACAAGAAAAAGACACATGGAGGTGGGAGGGAAGGAGGTGGATGCAAGTTCAGCTTTAAGAGGCCTCGCCACTGCCACCGATTTCCCTAGCAACATGGAGAATGGTTCACAAGGCCAAGTCCTAGGGCAGTGACGGTGAACCTTTCAGAGACGAGGGCCCAAACTGCAACCCCAAGCCTCCATATTTATCACCAAGTGCCAACACTGCCATTAAACCTGAACACTGAGGTTTTAGTTTAGAAATAACAACCGTTATTCAGAGCTCAGCTGCTGAGGAGACTTGGCCCGCACGCTGACAGAAAGAGGGCTCTGTGTGCCCGCTGTGGCACTCGCTGTCATAGGTTCGCCACCACTGTCCCAGAGCAGCTTCCTGTTCCGCTGTTTCCTGCTTCCTCCGGAAGTCAGGTGTCCAGTTACATGCAACCAGGAAGGGCCCAAGAAAGGGGCGGACAGTCTCACACCTGCACCATCTCTCTGATGGTCTGTTCCAGTGGGCAGCAGCTCTTTCTTTCCTCTTCCCCTCCCTCTTGCCTCAGTTTCCACTTTCCCATTCTGTCTCTTCTTTGCCCCAGCAGCACCCTGCCTCTGCCTTCTAATTCTTTGTCCACGCACCAGCAAGAAAGCACAGGAGAGCAGATAAAGCCCAGGAGAGGCAGGCACAGCATGCTGTCTGCGTCAGAAAGGGCAGAGGGAAAAGCTTGACTCTAAAGAAGCTCAGGATGTCACGACCAGGGCTGTGAGCTGGGCCTGGGGCTAGCAACATCCTAACTGTACAGTGCAGGCCTCAGGGCAGCTTACACCGGAAGCCCTTCTCCCATCCCACCCACACAGCTGTGACGGGAGACAGAGTCAAAATGTCACCCAAGGTCAGATACTCATTTTTCTGTAACTGAAGAAAAAATAAATAAAATGCACTTGAACGTGATCCCCTTGCCTCACCTGTTTGGCCAGAATCCTTGCTGTCAGCCTCACAGTCTCCGAGGGGTTCCAGTTCTCCCCAAAGACAACCATGGAGGAGCACTCCAGCTTGTGCATGGGCCAATCTTCTCTCTGGGAAGATTTTTAAAAATTATCAAAACACTGACACAGGCACGAGAAGAATAAAGTACAAGAAGGCAGCATGCAACACGACCCCCAGCTAGGGTGAGCTGAAATGCGTTTCCTTCTGGAAAACACAAAGACGCTCAGGAAAGCTGGAGGAAAACATCGTCTTGGCGGGAGGTTATCTCATGACTCGATGCAGGCCTGTTCCAGGTTACTGGGAGGAGAGAACTCGCCAAGCATCTGGTGTCTTTCTGCAGTGCTGCAGTCTGCCGAGCCACAGCGTGCCTTCCCCTGGCCTGCAGGAGTGCTCGGAACGCCGGGCGAGCAAGGTGGGGACCAGCGGCTGACGTGACCCTGTGCCCTATGGCTCTGGTCTAGCTCTGCTCTCCCCTGGACTGACACCAACAACCTTCCTTTTACCAGTGGCTTTTTTTTTTCCCATAAAAAGCACGAACGAGAGCTTTGTAAGGGCCCTCAAAGTCTGGGAGGGCAGGAAAAGGCAGAAACAGACTTCTCTAGTTCAGGTGACTGAAAAGAACTGCTTCGTCCCGGCCCGGGTCTCAGGTTGTGCTCTATTCCGGCAGGGTGGAGCTCTGTCCCCTGGGATGGGACAGCAGCGAGCAGGCCGCTGTGGGGCTCTGAAGTGTTCTGAGGACCAGGGATTAAACGTGGTGACAAGGCTGGTGACAGGCTCAGCGTGAGACGACCCAGGATGGAGCCTGCTCAACCAACGCGGGCCCTGCCGGCTCTCGGCTCAGGACGTCTGCTGGCTTCTCGTGAGGCCAAAGGCCAAGTCCTACAGATGACAGGGGCAAGGCACAGGGACAAGGCCCCCTCCTCCTGCAACCCCGTTCTCTCCCACGCCTTCTCGGGACACCGGCCGTGTGCACCCTGCCAGACAGCCCTTCCCTGCCCCGGCTGCTTCGCGGTCCCTCTCCACTTGCAACAGTGCAGACCTGGCGCCCTTTAGTGCAGTATCCATTCCCTTGAAACCAAGGACCTGCGTGTGCTTTGCTCACGGATGCAGCCACAGGCCCTGTACGTGTGCCGACATTTCTCAAGCATCACATGGTGGTCCAGGGCACGGAGCTGCCCCGCTGCCCCAGTCCCACCTGGTCCCCAGGAGGGAGGACTCGGCGCCACCTCAGGATTCCGTGCCGGATCCGGCACAGCCCGTGGCTCCAGGTCCGTGCCCAGAAGTTCCGCAGAGTTAAATAACATCGTGCCAAATATAACCGGGCGCACGGAGAGACAGCGATGACAGCGAGGCCCAGGGGAGCGGGGGACCTGTTTTTAGTCAAAGTCTCCAACTCAAGCACACGGAGGAGGCGCTGAGCTGGTGACAGGTGGCTGCACTCCTCGCTCAGGCGCAGAGGCAGAGCCTAAGGCAGGGACCAAGGAGACCTCTGGGTCCCCGAGGAGACGGGCACAAAGGGCTGGAACAGGGGGAGCACGACGACGATCCCGCAGGGCACCGGCCCACCAGGACCCAGCGGAGGAGCTCGGTCCCCGCCGGGCTCCGACGCTGTTGTTTTTCAGAACTGTGGTGGCAGGTGCTGTGGGGTGTGCCCACGCCAGTGAGCTTACAGGAGAAGGAAGCTGAAGGAAGCCCTTTGCTAACACATACTCACTACTGGCCTAATGCATCTGAAACTAATGTTAATACAGCACCTGTCCCTGTCCCAGACGGGGCATCTAAGCCCCAGACGCCCAGGGAGGGGCAGGGCGCTGGGGACTCTGGCTCTGTCCTGGAGCCCTCGGTCTCCTCCGGCTCTGCCTCTGCACGACGCCAAATGGGCCTCTTAATCCCCCAGCGCCTGGCTCCCTGGCTGTAAATAACATGATCCCTAGGTTACTTAACAGGTCCCCGACCTCCGAGTCTGTGATTTTACACCTTCCAGCAGTGATAATCAGGCCTGAAGCCTCAAGACTCCCAACCCCCCACAGCGGGCCTGCACAAGGGATAATACAACGGTCACCGCAAGAGTCCCCTAAGGTAACTTGAAAGAGTTGTACTGGGAATGGGGTCTAGCACAGAGGACCGTCTCAGCAAACACTGGTAACGGTTCACCTTCAGGTTCATTTAGTCATTCAACAAGCACTGCCGCTGACTCAAGAGGCAGGCCCAGGAGACAAAGTCTTAGGCTTCACGCTGTTTATGCCAATGTCAGAAGACAGGGTAAAAGAGTATCTACAGGTAGACACAGTCCCACATACACCAGTCAACTCAGCGCCAAAGGCAGAACCATGGAGGTTTCATCAAGGGAGGTAAGCACAACAATAATGCCTTCCTTCAAAAACTGAAAACAGTGATGAAAAGAAGAATGACAGAGACGAGCCACCATGGCACTGTTCCTTTTTAATCCTTAAAAAAAAAAAAAACAAAGAAAAAAATGCGGGCAGCAACGCATGCCTGGAATCGCAGCACTGGGGAGGCTGAAGCAGAAGGATTATTGGGAGTTCAAGGTCAGCTTGGGGCAACATAGTGAGTTCAAGGCTAACTTGAACTATAAAGCAAGACCCTGAATCAACAAAACAAAAAAGAAAAATAATAAAAGAGGGCAAGGGACAGTGAGTATCTGGTGGAAATATGAAATAGGTTCTGGGCACCCTTTTCCCGTGTTACAGATGGGCCCCAGGGTACAAGCAAGCGCTATACACCTCACGTCTCCCTGAGCTACACCCCAGCCCATTTTGAGCGTATGTTGAGAACTTTCTTCTGCCGTGGAGATGGTCTACAGGTCCGAGAGGACCGGACAGAAGCAACCTGCCCTAATTTTGCCCATAAGAAATTATAAACAACTACAATGGGCAAAACTGGAAAAAAAAAAAAAAAAAAAAAAAAAACGAACTAGGCTAACCAGATGAAGAATGAATTTTACTAATGAACACATTTTTAAAATATCAGCAGCTTTGTTGCAATTCTTCATGGCTGGAGAAACATTTCTTCAAAAAATGAGAAAGGAAGGGAAGAATGGAAATAAAGCTTTTGTAAATAGGGAGGGAAGAAGGGTTGAAGGGAAGGGAGGGATTGGGGAAAAAAACAAGAATTCAGGAATACCATGTACAGGTAGAAATTCCCTGCGGTAAATGTGGTCATTATGTATACCTCCAAGGTACCAGTAAACTTAATTTTTAAAAAGAAAGTTAAAAAGTAAAAAGTAAAACCATTTCTTTGGTTTTTCTAAAACCTTTTTTTCTAAAATTACTATTTTTCTTCAGAATTCAAGCTACTATTATTACACCTCCGCCGACTGCAACCCCTGTAAAATTTTATGTACACTAGGACCCATCCTCCAGAAAAGTAACACAGACATGTACAGAAAGTCTTCCGGGAGGTATGCACGAACGTGTGTGTTGCTAGCAGTTCTCTTTCCAAGAATGACACTCATCCTGTCTTCTTTTGGTCTTTATCTTCTGAGCTTTCTACAATGAACACAGAGTGTTGTAATAATGTTAAACAATAAAATCTACATGTAATTAGGATGTGGCTTTTTTTTTTTTGGATGTGGCATCTTTTTGATACCAGTGAGCAAATGACCCTTCCTTCCAGGATAAGGGGATTGGATTTCTACAGTGAACCCCCTTTCCTATCCCCGGCACTGGTGCACCTAGGTGTCACCCTCAGGGAACTGGGGAGACAAGCCCAGCCCACTTGTGGGCGTGCGGATGTGACCTTTCAGGATGTGGGTGGTGAGAATGGGTCAGAGGATTTCTATTCTCCGCCGCCATCACCTCCAGAGGAAGAGCGGGAAGGGGCAGGTAGGGTCTGCTCATCTTACAGGAGGGGGACGTTGGCTGGGACTTGCAGTCTGCTTTGTCTTGCCAATAAACCCAAAGTGGCTGAACTCAGTCATTCCCATTTCTTCCTGTGCTGATGTTTAACACTTAGACAGTAAGTCAGTAAAAGGGTGGGCAAGCTTCCCGTGCTCCTATAGGCTGGATCAGGAGACAGTGTGTTCAACCAGGGCAGAGCCTAGGACCCCGACCCATCTGCTGATCACCCAACACGAGGGGAGGCTTACCCAGCATGGATCGGCCCTGCCCCACGCTCCGGTTATTTTTTAATTGATAATAAAAAGCCTGGCATGTTCCTACATCTTTGGTTACATGCCCTCACATGTAGTTTTTTTGCAAGTCTCCATCAGGACATGCTTCTTTCTACTTTCAAAAGCACCCTCATGAAAAACGAAAGTTTTTTCTCTAGGTTTAATGTTAAGAGGCATATATCAATGGTTCTACCATACTATAATTATCCTACATAAAAACAACCCCAAATAATTCTCATGAACATGCCGTGGTATGACGGAAGGAAGCCTGAGTGAAGAGCATACTTAACTTTCCGGGCATATTTATAAAAAATATAACCCATTAAAACACACAGGTTGCAAAGTAACAAGCCGAGTGAAAAAGGAACCTCTATCTCTTTTCTATCTCCTCCCGTTACCTTTCCATGCCTCATCAATTAAATTCTTTCCTCTGGCTCCATCCTGCTGAGTCAGGGCAACCAGGAGGGGAGGACCCGAAGGGGACCTGAGACCAGAGCAGCCAGGAGCTAGAGCACTGAGGCCAGAGCCTGCGGAGGACCCCAGACGCCCAGCTCCCTGGCAGGGGACATTGGGGAGGGTGTGTGCCTGTGCGCGCCCAGCTGTGTGGTTTCTGCCCAAGACGAGAGCAATGGGCCCCTCTCTCTGACTCGGTTCCCGGCCTCTGCAGCGCACTGCCGCAGGGTGGGAAGGCTCTCTCCCATCACGGTTGACCTTGGCCACCCCCGCCCGGGGCACGGTGTTCTCACCCTTCCAGCCTGAGTGGCACCCACCACCTGCACCCTGCGTGTGAGCTCTGGGGATGGTAGGAGTGGCAGCCCGGGCTCTCTTGGTGGCAGTCCCCCTGAGGACCTTCCTGGCGCCTGCTTTTGCTTTGCTTTGCTCTTGCACTGCTGGAGATCGAACCCAGGCCCTTCACACTCTGCTAATCCTCAGCCCTTTTATTTGTCATGTTGAGACAACTAACAAGACCCTGCTCTGACGTCATGCCACACAGTCCCTTAGTGGAGCCCCACTCTGAGTCCCCCCAGATATTGCCTTCTAGGGTACCCTCACTACATTTATGTCTGGAGCCATTGCCCCTAAGACTTCCAGTAGGAAGCCCTGGCCCTGACCTGCATTTCTAGGCTCCTACTTTTACTAAGCTTTTAAGCCCTTGCTACCCGCTGGTCACACCCTCAGGCCAGCGGCCTCCTACAGGTCAAACCCAGCCGGCCAGCTGCAAAGCAGAGGCCTCTGGAACCGCGGCACTGATTCCTCCCAGGAGAGCTCCAGTTGCTGGACATACAAGAAGCAGAGAAAAGCAGCCCTGCTCCCCGGGCTCAGGGGGTCTTTGCCCAGGACCCCACGGTCAGAAGGGCAAACTGCATCTGCCTCAGCCAGAGCCTGCACAACCTCCATCCGGGCTCCTTGCTACCCAAGGTCTCACGACAGAGCGACAACCTGTACCAAGTATTTTCGGGGAGAATGTTCAGAATGTCAAAGCGCTCGCTGTGCCCCGACAGACAGGCACCCTGGCACACTCAGGCTGGGGTTTGTGTACGTGAGCCCCCAAGAGAGGGCCCCCCTCGCTGCATGCTCACACAGGTTTCCCAGGCTGCAAATCTGGAAGGCGGGGTCCTGGGACCTTAACAGACACCTCCAAATCCCAACTGGGACCATGACTATTCATCCCAATATTGCCCCCAGAAAGGCCTGGTGGAACATAGCTCAGCAGTGTGCCCAGGAGCCCCAGGGGTAGGGCCACTCGTTACAGTCTGTGGTTCCACTTTAATGGACTCTTGTAGCAGATTCAGGCGAGTTAGGGCTAATTTTGCTTCCTTTAGTTGTGTTGTTTTCGAGATGAGGTCTTGTTCTGTTGCCCAGGCTGACCCTGTATTCCCACCCAGTGTATACCATCTGTGTCCACACGTGCTTACAAGCCAACCTTCTCCTAGGTTCAAAGAACGAGCCCCTTAAATCAAAAGTATGCTGTTTCCTGCTTGCATAAAGTGAAGCTTCAGTTCAGCCTGAATTATACAAATCCAACCTTACTGTGGACTGCGGTATTACTGTCTAGAAAGCCCCTCCCACCTGTCATTACCACTCCGTGCCTACAGCTCACCAAGAACGGATGGGCACTGTCCTTGGTTTGTAGGTACAGAGACTGAGACTGGGAGACGACCTGTGGTTCCTGCTGCTTGGCCTCGTCTTCCTCTGCCCTGCGTGAGGTCGTCTGACCGGGCTGCGAATGCACTGGCCTTTACTTCTCCGAACAACCGGGCAATGGGTTCCTGGAAGTGTTGGCTCCCACGAACAGCCCAACTGTGCGTTTCCCAGGGCCCACTGTCTCTCTCAGGCGGGGACAGACACCTGGTCTCTGAGCCAGGGCGCCTGCACCTCCCACGCCACCCTCCAGTGTGGCCTTTGCTCAAGCAGGGGCCACCCGCACAGTGGCTCCAGTCACACAGCACACAAGATGCAGAGCACGTCACACGGATCTCTGCCACTCCTAAGCAAAGGTCTTGAGGCCCTTCGGGGACCAACAGCCTAGGGAAGTAACACGGGAAAACCACAGTAGTGAGTAATCCAAAGGGGAGAGAAGGTGGGGCTGGAGGAAAGGGGGAGGGGCGTCCCCAGGTACAGGAGGCACCCACAGATACGCAAATACGGAGAAAACCCTCCCTGTCACCACAGCCACCCTGTCAGAGCACTGCCTGTCTGAGGTGTAGAAATACACTCCCTTTAAGAAGCCAAGTTGGGGCGGGCATACAGATCAGATAAGAAGGCTTAGAAATGCCTAGTGCATGCTAGCATGTGCAAGACAACCAGAAACACAGGGCAAGGAAATACTACCACATACAATACATATAATAGTACAAAAATAACCAAAGACCACACTCGCCTACTCTGACCGTGGAATGCATTGTCTGAAGCACCTCCCAGCGCTCAGTGGATCTCTCGGTTTGAGAAACACCATTCATTCCTCAGCCCTCAGCAGACCCCCAGGGCTCCCTACACCTCGGCCTTCACCCCCATCCTGAGTCACAGGACTCACCAGCCCTGCACCTCAACCCCTGCCTGGCTGCTTAGGGGACGCTGGCAGAAGGCACTCCCTCTGGCCCTGCAGAGGCTGCGCCAGGTGGGCTTAGGCTGCAAGCAAGTTGGCCTCACACAGCCTAGGGCACGGGGTAGCCTGTGGGAGGGACTTTCCAACTGTCCCCTCCGCACGCCCACCTGGTGGGGCCATCTTGGGCACCCTGGTGCCCTCGGCAATATACCTGCCCACCCCACCCTGGCTCTCCTGTGTGCTTCCCCTCCCCGCCTCACTTGTGGTCCTGCCCGGCGCCCCACACTGACCGCCTGCCCCTGGCCGCCTGTTGTGCTGGGGTAGCATGCATGCAGGTAGCCCCCAGCCATGGGAGGGGGCCACAGAATAACGGGACAAGGACAAAGAGACGCCAGGGTTCCGGTGTGTGGGGAAAAGAGGGCCCTCCCTGCCAGCTGCCCCCACACCTACCTGACACTCCACATTGCAGTAAAATGCCTGCTTGCATCTTCCACACTTCGACAATCCTTCTTTCCTTAAAAACAGAAAGGGCACTGTAGTGGGGAGAGGCACTGACCCGTGACGCGGCGCCCCGATCATGCAAAGGACAAAAGCCATCAGGCGAAGGCAGAGCAGCATCTCTTACCTTCCTCGCCCCTGTATCTTCCCATAGGAGGCTCTGCCCAGATCCGACCCCCAAGGAGGGAGGTGGCGAGCATGCGCCAACACCACCAAGCCCACAAGGCCGCGGGGCACTTCCCAAAGCCAGGAGGGACGCGTGCTCCAACACAGAGACCCTGACTTGGGGCCCTACGGTCTCTATGGTCACCTGTGCTCTTATTCAGCAGCTTTGGGAAGGTCAAATTCTCGCCTGATTTTCATGCACTGACGTGAACCACGCGACGGCTACTGAAATGAACAGAACCATATTGTCACCTACCCTGGTCCCAAAAGCTACATTTAAAAAGAATGCAACCCAGCCAGCAGAGCTGTGTTCTCCCATGTGGTACTCCTGGCTCTGATGGTGAACACCACGTGGGGACCCAGGTCACCAAGGCCCGATCACTGCCAGATTCTTTCCCTGCTACCCAAAGGACAGGGACAGTGTTGCTTCCCAACCGTCAGGCTCTGGCGTGTGTGGTCCATGTGAGACAAGCCACAGCTCCACTTATATCACACAGGACAACACCGCACGGTCTCGTGAAGCGGGACTGCCACCTGTGGTTGTATTTGCCCAGGAGAGAGAGGCCCCTGGAGGGACATTCTTGCTGCTGCAGGGGATGTGATCCTGCTACTAAGTCACCCCCTGGGCCACCCTGGGCCCCTCCCGAGCAGCCCAGCCCAGCCCACAGGGGCTGACGTCATCTAGCACAGATGTAGGGATCTTCTCGCTGCAGAGTCCTCCGAGGCTGCCGTCAGTCAGCGGCAGTCACCACACTCCGCCCACGAGCCACGGAGACAGCGACGGCAAGATGCTGCCGTGGGAACTAAACACGCTGCCTGGCAGCTTTGGAGACAGTGCTCGGATTCCAAGGCACCGACCAAAGACAGTGTGGGAGGAAAACACATCTCGGGTTGAGGCATAAATACCTGAGCCTGCACATCTCCATAGCGCAGAATGGAGCCCACTGATGGGGCACGGTGAATTTTCTGGCCTGAAAACCCAGGTGTCACCGAGGGGGGCCGACCCCTGCCCCCATAGTTTGCATGTAACAGAAACAAGGTGTGGTGTGGCCGCCCCCTCCCTCTCACACCGAGGTGACCCAGGTCACAAGGTGCACCCCAAACAACTGTGTGGTGACGGAACAGCATGTGCAAGGCATGAGGAAAGGGGACAGACGTGAGGAGCTAGACAGGAAAGCAGAGGCCCGCCAGGCAGAGGGCTGCAGAGTTCGCTGCAAACGAAATTCTTCAGAAGCGGATAACGGAGGGAGGTGCCGGCCTATAAAAATGTCAAACTGATACAGCCCTTTAAAATTTGTTTTGTTTTTGTATATGGGGCAGGGCAGAGACCTCTGAGAATTTAATGGAGGCTATTAACCTTCCCTGCCAACCCACCTTCGCATCAGCCCCTCACGAAACAGATAATTTCATAAGATTTCAAGGGCTGATCAACTGCCTAATGTCCAAACTCAGACCACTAAAGAGCCTCTGAACCCAGAGGTGAGACACGTAATTAAAGGGCTAGGAAACGATCACATTCTAGAATGTATTTATTAGTTCTGCAACATACAAAAAAGCCAGGATCACACAGGTCTTCCCGCTCAGAAGGCGACTGTAAAGTCAGTCGGGACCAATGGCTTCTTTTCAGCCTCAGCATAACACCCTGGGGACAGAAAAAGCAACCGGGTCTCCAGGGACGGAGGAAAGAACTCCAGTGGGATTTCATCAAAATAACCAAAGGCCAGCCTCATTAGCACGCGCTCAATACTGAACCCACAGCCATCACCAAGGACAGGAGGAAGAGGCTGACTTTTCAGCATTGGCCATGCGTGAGGAGCATTTTCTATCATCTCTCAAGATGGTTCTCAGGTTGCCAATAATGAGTTCTACTTTTATTAAACCTCGATTCTTTTTTGAGATAGGGTCTTGAACTCGCCATGTAGCTCCGGGCTGGTCTCATACTCACAGCAATCCTCCTGCCTCAACCTCCTGAGCACTGGGATGACAGCCGTGCACCACCCCACTCGGCTTCAATTCTTTCTGACATTCTACAGCGGCATGGGAAGAATGCAGGACTGTTCTGCTCCCTACTGAAGCGCAATGACCATCTCATGGAAAGGCATCTGTGTGATTGTTGAGATTATAAACTGAATGTGCCTCTTTTTTTCCCCGGAATACTTTTTTTTTTTTTTTACTTGAAGAACACTGGTTATTTAGACTTCAGCTTTTGGCAGATATATTATTATTAAAAAGAATGAAGCAAGCCCATCACTTCCTGGAAAACAGTGTTTGTTGCCAATGATACAATCTGAGCTTCGGTGCAAAAATGAGAATTCTGGAAAACATACAGCTGCCCCCTGAGTGCGACAGCTTCTCAACACAACGCTTCTCAGACAAGCCTGGTAGGAATATTAACAACTGCAGTTTTTAAGTATGGTTTGAGGAACTGAGGTAACTTTTGGAAGATCTGTACCACTTAGTGAACCCAATTTTTCCAAATGACTAATTATGATGTTTTTAAAGCCAGGCAGGGCTAAAAGTCATTCAAAAGACAAACAAACCAGTGGATTTTAATGTAACAGAGCATGTAAAGTTCACCAAATCACTTTAAACTACCATCCAGGACGGTATCACCTCATGAGTTTTAACGCTGAATCAAAGAATATCTGTATTGAGCTGAAAAGGTTACTGACATACTCTTCCTTTGCCAACCTCACATCTGTAAAAGCTGGATCACGGGCACATACTTCAACCAAGACACACAGGCTGAATCAGAAGCATCTCTGAGAATCCAGTTGTCTTCTATAAATCCAGACACAAACGGGATTTGCAAAAAACATAAAATAATATCACTATGCTCATTTTTTTAATTTTGGGAAATATTTCTCATAAAAAGACTTATTCTAACAGTAATGGTGATTATTTCAAAATGAATCTATACTTAATCATTTTTTCTGTTCTAATTTCAAATATGCCAAATATTAACAGATACAACCTATATGAACAAAAGTTCTTTGGAGTTCTCAACTTCCGTTTCCTTCTTTTTTCTTTTTGAGTTCTCAACTTCTAATAGTACAGAGCAGTGGTGGCGAACCTGTGGCTGTGTGCCTCAGAGGGCTGTGTGTTGTCACCGAAAGCTCTGAAAGCTTCGCCATCGCTGGTACAATCCTGAGACCGAAAAGGTCGAAGGCTATGGATCTTTCTTAATAATCCCATCAGATCTATGAGGGAGTTATCACAATTCCTAGTTTTCAAATGAAGAACTTCAATGTGAAATAACTAATCTAACATGTTGAGAAGTAGGTGGGGAAGTCAGAACTTATAGTTTATCTTCATCATGCAGAATACCCTTTCCCGAGGACAGCTCTCCTGAAAGACTGAGTACACAAAGCAAAAAATGGTCAGGCTGCTAAGCGCAGGAAGGCAGCAGAAGAGAGCTGTCCTTTCTCTGGCCTGTAGGACGTCCCAGAGCCAGCGGGATCTTGTTAATGTCACTCTGCCTGTAAGACACAGGGGGCCAAGATCCAGGATTACTGTTCAAATGGAGATTTGGGGGCAGCATCCCCAGCAGGAGGGTCCCCCCACCAGCTGCGACACTTGGAACGGACTGGAAGAAAATGAAGGCCGATGTATTTTCCAGGCAAAGAAGGCCCCTCCGTCTTATTCAGTACCGGAAATCAGGATGTTCCTCAACCACCAGCACCAGACTCTGAAGGATCAGACCTCTTAACCACTTACAAACAGGGCACCTCTTATTAAAGACCAAAGCATGCTTGGCCTCTGAGCATGGCAGCAACGCAAGCCATGCATGAATTTTCTTAACACAGCCTGCGGAGTCAGCCTGCCTGCGGAGTAGAGAAGCCAAGAGTCACGACAGCTACTGTTACTGATCACGAACTCGGACTCTACTTTGACCTATTTTGGTTTGAGCAATTCTAGATGGGGGCGGGAACAGCAAGGGAGCTTGGTTTGAATTATCCAGACAGGTGCTTCAGTGCTTCCCATAGCTGTGCAGAGACGTAAACTCTTCAAAAGGCCCCTGGCTGAAACCCAGAACTCCAGTCTGCTGAGCTGGTCCCCGAGCTGTGTGTCTCTGAGTTAGGGAGAAAAAGGAAGCTAGGGGCAAGGGCCTGTGAGTGTGCAGCTTCGGCTGACCGAGGAGGTCCAGCCAGAGAGGGGCTCCCAGGGCTCACTGTGTGGACCACAGGAGAAGACAACATCCGGAAGAAACCCTGCGCATGCAGAAAACACAGCCGCTAAACACCCATTTACAACATAACCCAACCTCAACGGTCCCAGCGGTGTGGGCAGGGCTGCGCCAAACAAAACAAGTGAAATTTCTCCAAAATAAACAATCCCAAAGGGGCAAAACACAAAACTTAAATCACTAATAACCTCTCACCTGCAGAAGGGCTCTCCTCTCTGGTGGCCTGGTTTAGGGGCATCGATTTCATGGGGTTGGTCTGTGGAGGGCTTAAGCTTTGGGGTGCTTAGCGCCCAGGGGCAAAACACGTGAACGGAGTGGGTTATTTGTTCTCATTTTGCTCTACAGTGGTGAAGCACTTTGCAAGGCAGACTGTCTTGGGTATCAGTGTTTTATCTTCTTTTGCGGGGGAGGCAAGACTAGGACTTGAACCCAGGGCCTTCCCACAAGCCACCTTCTCAGCCGTTTTGATTTTTATTTGGAGACAGGGTCTTGCTGAGTTGCTACACTGCCCAAGCTGGGTTCAAATATGCAATCTCCTGCCTCAGCCTCCCAGAATGCTAGGACTGTGAGGGTGCCCAGTGTAAGTCTTCTGGCAGCCCCTGGGGGTATCAGCCTGGGCTGTGTAACTGTCTCACTAATAAACGTCAGGGTAAGTGCGTGTTCTC